CATTTTCTTTTGTTTTGTCTCCCAGACTATCAAGTTAGAATTTCTACTAGACGGTTGTAAATATGATTCTAGATGGACATAAAATGGTGGTAGCTCCTAGGGGCTAGAGAGATCGCTCAGCCATTCAGAAAACATACTGTTCCTGCAGAAGATCTGAGTTTAGTCCCCAGCACATTGGGCAACTCACAGTTGCCTATAACGTCAGCTCCAAGGGAATCCAATGCCTTTGGCTTCCATGGGCACCTTCACTCATTTACACACAAGTTAAAAATAAATAATTAAAAAAAAAACCTATCAGATTCTGGACCATCAGTAAGCTCAGAAGGTAAAGGTGCCTGCCACATGTGAAAGAACAGAACTGATTTCTGCAAGTTGTCCTCTGAAGCATTAATCTAATTAATCAATTCTTTATCAATAAAAAACCAAGAGTCAAATATTGGGGTAAGAACCTGAAAGATCAGAGAACAGGGAGCAGACACCAGTTGCTTCCTACCTCTTCTGTTCCTCTGTCCAAAAGGGCTCAGATGCTCTGAGACCATCTTACTACTTCCTACCTCTTCTCTGTCTATAGTCCTGCAGACCTCTATGGAGTGGCTGGCTCTGTCTCCTGACTCCAAGCAAGCTTTATTTGTCAGAATACAATCAAAATATCACACACCATTTTCTCCTTTTGTCTAAACAAAAAGCAAAGGTTTTAACATAGTAAAATTATATACAATAAGTACAATAATTAGATACAAAAATATACAGGCAAGAATTACATTAACAGTGTGTAGTTAATTTTCATTTAACAAATTCAGAGAAAATACTCTATTATCTATCCTATCTTGGAGAGTCCAAAGCGTTGTACCTAATTCTCTTTCTATCATAATTTGTATTACCAACAAACTATCTTTTTATGTCTCTCAACCCTACACACTTTACACCTTTTTTGTGAGTTTCTTTTCTGAATTGGTAACAAGGAAAATTAGAACTAGAACTATCTAATTTCCAATTCCATCAGAGAACCAAGAAGGATAAAATACTACCTGAGTAAACAGAAAGTGCAGAGCCAACAACTTTCAAAACTAAGAAAAGACAGAAAGAACTGGCTATCTGAACAGCCACCCAAGGTTCTTCTGTAACGTTGGGGCATCCATCTTTGGCCTTGGTGCCGGAGAATTGTCTGTATTCTGTCAATCATGTTTTAAATAAATGCTGATTGGCCAGGCAGGAAGTATAGGTGAGTTAACCAGACAGGAAGTAGAGGCGGGGCCACGAGAACAGGAGAATGCTAGGAAGGACGAAGCCCATTCCTCCCATTCCTGCCCAGACCACCAAGAAGCAGCCTACCCGGCTGAGAAAGGTACCAAGCCATGTGGCTAACATAAGCTAAGGATAATGGGGTAATATACACTATAAGAACTAATACAAAGCCTGAGCTAATGGGCCAATCAGTTTTGTAACTTATGGAGATCTCTGTGTGATTTTCTCTGGGACTAAACAGCTGGGGACTGGGTGGGACAGAAGCCCTAAAGAGCCTGGCCTTCATGTTACAGGCCTACAGAGCTAGAATATCTGACAGACTTTTTTGTGAAGCAGGATTTTTGAAGGACTCTCTGCCTTGTCATGGCAAAAGTTGGCAGTCACTTTCTTTTGTGTCCTGCCTGTCCTGCTTGGGCAGCGCACTGTCGGTAGTCAAAGCAAGGGCAGTTTCTTGCTCAGTGGCTAACTTTTGCCAAAAAGAAAGTAAACACCATATGAAGTTTCCTCGATGTCCATCATCTTCTCTGAAGTAGATTGGTGATGCCAGAAGACATGTCTCATTGTCATATAAAAAGAACCTTATGCTATTAAAACATCATAAATGCCGTATTCTGTAGATTCCATTAGTGTTTCAAGAACATCTGTCTATCTAAAATAGATCTCTACTTGACCTTGAAAACATACCTAACATGACTACAAGTTTGATTGTAATTGGTGACTAACTACTAATCTTCATTTCTTCATTATTCTAAATAGTTTGTAATAATAACTTTCAAGGACTAGAAATTTACATTACATTGTTAAATGAGTCATAAAGGTACAATGTTTTGAACAAGAGTAGAAATATGTGTAAAGTATGTTCTAACAAAAAAAACCTTAAATTTGTATCAATATACAAAAATATCTTAAACAAGTAGAAACATATATACAGCCTAACAAAAATAACCTTAAATTTGTATCACTATACAGAAATCCACACCAATGTAAACCATTTGAAATTAGCAGTTGCTTTTCCAGCTTAAAAGCAAATTCAATAATCTACCCATTTATCCTATCCATTGCTATATCCCTCCTATATCTAGTCTCCTTTGTTCAGCTTTTTTTCCTGGCCATTACCAATGACAACTTGTAACCAACCTCCTTAAATGATGACAAATATTCACAACCCACTAAACTACCCCAAAAATGCCCACTCCACCTCTTGGGAATGTGGGTGTCATGTTCTTAAAATTATGTCCTGCTGTATGGGGGTGATGGCATCTTTAAAAATATCCTGAAAAAAATTGAGATAATTGTCAAGTCCTGAGAGAGCTAGCTATATTATTTGTTGTCCAGTCTCTGTGTAATGGGAAAGTGCAGGGGTTATCTCAAGTCCTGTGATGCTGGGCCATCTCAGCTAGCCACATTGAAATTTTTTCTGAGCAGTTTGCTGTCCAAAGCTGATCTTTTGGTGGTATTTGTTGACTTAGTAGCATTACCATAGTTCTGGTGGAATTGTTGTTGTGGGGCCCCATCGTCCTTATGGAGACTTCAAGGTCGCTGTTAGGCATCGTCATGGTTCACTGCAGAAAACTTAAAACATTTTAAATGTCATATGCAGCAGCAGATCTCGAAGAGGTTAAAGGCCCACAGTTTTCCTTAGTTATGATAAAAGTTAAATTAGTTATGAAACTTTGGATTCACAAAGATAAGACAGATGATAGAATATTTTCTTTAATTTTTCCAGATACAAATAAACTAGATACTATAACTGCAATTCTTATTTAATAACTGTTTTGTTACATATAGTTTTATTATCTTAAAGTTAAAACCTTCAGCCAAGCAGTGGTGCTTAAATCCAGCACTCAGGAGGGAAAGACAGACAGATCTGTGTGAGTTCCAGGACAGCCTGGTATACAGAGCAAGTTCCAGGACAGGCTACCATGCTACAAAGAAACACTGTCTTGAAAAAACAAACAAAAATTTAAAACCTTTTTTTAAAATTAGACAAAAGGGGGAAATGTTGTGGAATAATTCTGTATGCTGTGAAAAGGTATTACTCTCATTGGTTAATAAAAAGCTGACAGGTTGGCAGTCAAGTAGGAAGTATAGGTGGGACAGAAACCAAGAATGCTGAAATGAAGAAGGGCAAAGTGAAGAATCACCAGCCAGATACAGAGAGAGCAGGAGATGAACATGCCATGTTAATAAAGGTACTTCCACATGGCAGAGCATAAGTAAGGAATATGGGTTAACTTAATATGTAAGAGCTAGTTAGTAATAAGTGTGAGCTAATGGCTGAGCATTTGCAATTAATATAAACCTCTGTGTGGTAATTTGGAAGCAGCTTCCAGGATGGGAAAACTCCACCTACAGACCTCCACACATACCCACACAGATTAATAAATACATAAATAAATAAATGTGTACATTAAAAAAATCCCTGTCTTAGAAGTAGATTAGGTTCTCCAAAGGTGAGAAAAAAGATGGGTGATAGACCTGGAGTATCTAGAGGGACCAATCAGGGGAAGAGATTCCCTGAGAAGGGATGAGGGGAAAGTTAATGTTAGACGATGAATTTATCCAATTATCTTCATTATCTTTACTAAGCCTATACTTTGTGTTGTGGTTTTAATTATCATGTAGTAGGTAGGAGAATGTATGAAGAGTTCCACTTTTAAAAAAATTATGAAGGTTTAAAAATATATGAAAAGTTGTATAAAGAGTTCCATTTTTTAAAAATTCCACTTTAATAAAAATTTATGTGCATGTGTATTTTACCTGTATGTGTACCATGTGCATGCATGCATGCATGCATGTGGCCAGAAGAGGGCGTAGAATCCCTGGATTTGGAATTAAAGGTCATATGGATGCAGGAAACTGAATCCATTCCTTATGCAAGAACAGATGCTCTTAACTGCCAATCCACCACTCCAGCCACCAATATTCTATTTTCTTTTTATGAACGTAATTCCAGGTTTTCTTTGTAGGTGGATTGCCTTGTTTTTTCTGAGACTTAGTCGCACAATATATCTCATATATCTCAGGCTGGCCCATTAATTTTTGATCCTCCTGCCTCAGTCTCCAGGGACTGAGGAACTCAAGTTTGTTTCTAAAAAGGCGGACGCCGCACTCTCCGTTCTTCCAAATAGTCTCACCTGTTTAACCTCGGGACCTAACACCGAATCAAATCCCTGCTCTACAGCTCTTAAAACTCAGCTGCAGCTAGACAGCAGAGGAAACCTGAGATACCCGCCTCCCTCTTCCTGAGTTACCAGGACAGGCGAGAATGCCTGCCCTCTTAGCCAACGGATGAAGCTGGAGCCGAAGTCATTGTAAACAAACCGGGAGTCGCAGCGTTTGGGCTGGGGGGGGCGGGGAGGGATGATTCATCCTAGGGTTGAAATTTAGGCGTGACCAGCGCTTTCCACAACCAATCACAGCTGGGAATCTCCAGCGAGGGCGGAGCGAATGGACAGATATTAAAACCAATCACCAGCTGGAACCTGTGAAAGAGATGGGCGGGCATTGTTTCACATTTAGACCAATCAAAACCAGGTAAGTGAGCGGCATTCCCTGATGTCCAATAGGTGGACGGGGCGGTGTCCGGCAGCCAATGACTGGTGCCAGGGGGCGGGGTGAGACGCGTGTGTGCGGCGTGGGGGGNGGGGGGGGGGGGGGCGGCGGGGGTGGGGGGGGGGGGGGGGGGGGGGGGGGGGGGGGGGGGGGGGGGGGGGGGGGGGGGGGGGGGACCTCGAGCGTTTGTGCGCCGCGGCTCGCGCTCTGAGGAGGCGGCGCTGTGCTGTGGTGCGGACCTCGGGGCGGCGTTGTCCGCGCGGCCAGGTGGGTTCGGGCGTCGGGACTGGACCTCAGGCCGCCCGGGGACACGCACAGCCCCGCTGTGTTTGGGCCTCTCGGGAGCGCGCGAGGCCCCTCGCCCTCTCCTCGCGGGCTGTCCGAGAACGCGCAAAGCCCCTTTCCCGGTGCGGCCCGGGCCCAGGCCGTCGGACGCTCTGGCACTCGCCGGCCAGCTTCTCCCACCTCATCCTCTTTCACCATCTTTGCTATGGCCCACCGACTCCGGCCGTTCCTCCGCTCCGCTGCCTTCCGCGCCTGTTCCCTGCGACCTCGGGATTTCAGCCTCTTTTTCCCCGGGAACTAGCATCTCTCACTTTGCTTCTTGTAGGCACCTGAAAGGGTGAAGGCGAGAGAGGCAGATGACGACGCTGAACACAGGCTCTGCAAGGTTCGGAACCGGAATGGGCTTGCTTAAACTCTTTCTGCCTCCCACCCTTTACGTGCCGTTTGATCACTCTCCTCTTCTAGAATCTTTGTCCCCAGAAAGTGCTTTTGCTCAGCACAGCTGAAAATGCAAGGGGAAAGGCTTTCCAACCGCAACCAATTTGAAATCTGTTACGTGGATGGAACGGGATTGCCTTTGACAGAGCTAGCCAAAGCATGAGTTTACTCTGTAAGGAAAGGCCTGGTCATGCCGGACGACCAGAAGATGAAGGACATGTGTGATGATCACACACAACCTCTGAGTGAATTACAGCAGCTCAGAGACAGCCTTCATTCAGCATGGTCGCTTTACAGAGGATCTGTTTGCACCTTCATAGTATGGCAATGTTTGGCGTCCGGTAGCAGAAGTAGCAGTTCCAGCCATATGTTTCTAGATGATCTTTTACATGGTCTCATACCCAGATAAAATGATGCCGGACATTTACTGGGAAGAAATTAGCTCATCACTTGTAATCTTGACTGAGTTTTAGAAGTTGAAAAACTACTGGTCGGTGGGGATTTTATTTTGGGAGCTGGAGGAAATTGAGTAGTACCTTGGGTAGAGAGGAAGGGAAAATATGAATACGTCATACATATCTGCACTGTTCTCATGGCGTTTTCATGACAATATCTGGAGGGTTTTTTTTTTTTTTTTTTCTCAAAAGAGAACAGTAAGCTGGGAGTTTAGCATCAGATTCGCTATGTTTTGGAGTTCGAAAGCTTTTACTGTTTTCCTTACCTGGCTCATAGCACATAACAATATAGTTTCCTGTGTTTTGCTGTGGTAAGATTTTTTAATAGAGAAAGAAGTAAGCCTGTTCGAGTGAATTAAAAGCAGTCTACTCTGAGGTGACAACATTGTCTCATGGGCCATATGTTAGAGCATTATTAGTGAATCACTCTGGAAAAACAGGATCCTAAAACTGGTGTAATTCATGTCAGTTATAGCGGTTGTCAAAGCCATGGGCAAACTGCAGGTCTCAGAGTTGGTCATGGTATACAATATTGTGTCTGCAGTGGAAAACCAAATGTAGGTATCATGTCTTTGGATAAATCTGTCCTTAGTGCTTACTTTTTTCAACATTTAAATGGTAGCTTTTGCTTCCAATTCCCAGAGATCTGACCTTGATCATAGACTTATTAGAGACCTATAAGCCAGGATTAAATGCACAGAGGGTTCTATAGTTCAGGGTGCAGGTTCCTCCGTGTTCCAGCCTCATCTTCCATTGCTCTGGACTCCTGAAGTGCATTTCCTTAGCCTACCTGGCCCCTGTAGATTATAATCGTAAATCCTGAAAACCATTATCCCGATAGATTTTTGTTCCCTGTATTTGCACAACAGGAAATGATTTTCAGAGGTGTGATTTGCCGGAGTTAAAACTCAAACTCTGGCCATTTAACCCCAACGCCAGAGTTGACAGCACAAAACTACCCTTTCCTGCCTCTGTTCTTTGGCCATCTCTGTGTGAGTTCAAACCAAGAAGGTTCACTCTTGCCTTACTTACCTTAGTTTGGGACAAGCACAAAGAACAGTAGACATGTGCTGCTATCTACATATCCATGTGTATGATGTCTTTTTTTTTTTTTTGTGACAAAAATACGAGAAAAACACCTTAAAAAAAGAAGAATTTGTTCTGGCTTACAGATTGAGGGGTACAGTGTGTCATAGCCGCTGGAGCTGGAAGGAGCTGGTCCCATTGTGTCCACAGTCATTAAGCAGAGGTGAATGCTCAGCTCACTTGGTTTTTCTTACCTAGTTTGGAATGCTGCAGCTCACATTCAGGCTTTCATATTTCCATGGTGAGTCTAAATCTAGTAAAGATAGCAGTGGTAATTAATCATCACACTGTGAATGACTTCAAAGGCACTGCCAGTGTTAGTTTAGGGGTTACATGCAAATTTTAGCAAATAAAAAGATTTGCACATAGAATTGTACTTGTGAATGATCCCTAGTCCTCATTTCATGGTATTCCCTCCCTCTAAATCTATTTAGAGCGATCCTTTGGAGTATTGGGAAATCTGCTCACTTATTCATTCAACTAATATTTATTAAGCACTTACTATAAGCTGTACTCTACTTGATAGCAAATGAGCTATAGATTAAGGTCCTGCCCTTTGGGTCTTGTATTTAAGTTAGAAAGATAAACAGCTAAGGCTTGTATAGGTTGAGATTAGAAATTGTTCTCATCTGAGTTGACACTAAGTGTACTCCTTCCTGCTTCAGAGCCGAGAAGACTTCCAGGCCGTTTCTATTCTTTCATATTTTTGAGCCTTTCTCCAGTAACTTGACGGGCAAGGGGAGTATGTATGTGAGCCTGTGAATATGAAGACCAGAGGTCAACCTCAGACGTTCCTTAGGACCTGGCCAGCTTTTTTGTGTGGAGAAGTATAGGATCTCTCTCTGGTCTGAAACTCAGCAGCTAGATTAGGTAGACTGGCCAGCATGGTTCCGGGATCTGCCCAACTGCCTGGGCAGGGCTGGTATTACAAACTCACACCACCATGCTTGCCTTTTTTAGGTGGGTTCTGGGGACCAATATCAGGTCCCCATGTTTCTAAGACAAGTACTTCACTAAGTCATTGCCTCATTTATGAGATATAGTGCTGACCTGTTCTTTGAAATCTGCATCTGCTGTCTACTAAGTGAACAGATGTGGTACAACTTGGACTTTTGAACCTGTGTCCTAATTTCAAGATTGATGATGTGTAGACACTTTTACATTTCAAGGGAGAGCATGCACACATTACTTTTGGTGATGGGGGACGAGTATAAAAGAGAATGGGAGATCATTTCAGCATCCATATTGTTTAAACCATAGTGCTTTCAAAACTATATAGGATAGTGGTTCTCAACTTTCCTAACACTGTGACCCTAAACACAGTTCTTTGTGTTGTTGTGATTCCTAACCATAAAATTATATTTTTTGTTACCTCAAAATTGAAACATTGCTACTGTTATGAATCGTAATGAAATATCTGATATGCAGGATATCCAGTATGTGACCTCTATGAAAGAGTCGTTTGACCTCCAAAGGGGTTGTGATCCACAGATTGAGAATCACTGATCTATAGCAGCAACTTGGCCATATCTAAGATACGATTTTAGTTCTGGATACCCACCTTCGCATGCTTGTCCCCTAACATTTTTGTTTTCCAAAGGAGACTACCTGATCTTTCATCTTCTAAAACGGAAGAGTCCTATTGGGCAGAATTTTGAGTTAAGCCAGGTTCTTGGTTCCTGATTTCCAAGTTTAACCTGTATATCATCTTTAGCTGAGGCGCTGAGTCCTGGTCTGGTCCCTAGTAGACAAAAGGGGTTGGTTTCATGTATTCTTTGTCTCACAAACAAGTATATTTGAATAGGATTCTGGATACAGTTACTTTTCTTCAGAGGATAACTGAGGGTCCTAGGACTTTGTGGGCTTCTCTTTAAACAGTATTTTACATATTAGATACTGTAAGATAAAGCATCTAGCAAAATGGTTGACATGTGTCAAATATTCACTATATCTTCTTCCTGGTGCTGCATCTAGTTGTATTATGGTAGAACTACTTGTTCATATGGCTTTCTTCCTTACTACATTGTGAGCTCTATGATAGCAGCTTCCACAGTTCTATCCTTCTGCCTTTGATGCTTGGTTGAGAACCTGATACATGGCAACTGTTGCACAGGTATCTGATCTGGGGACTTCGCAACTCTTCCTGAAAGGGAGGTGGGGGCAGTGGGATTACAGGCTTCCCCAGAAGGTGTTATGTTAATTCCCCCCCCACACACACACACCACTTCTTCCAATCTTTTCTTCTTCAGCACATAGACCATCTTTCTTCTCTGCTACTTCACAGAATACCACAGTTTACATAGCCATTTCCCTTTGGTGGGGAACATTGTACTATTACAAACAGCCGCACGCCCAGTTCATGCTCATACACCCTTGATCGAAGCCTCTGAAATAGTTCAGATTAGATCCCCAACTGGTTACATGTTCACACAGCTAAAAGTTAGCCACATTCCTAATTCTTATTATATATAGAAACATGAAGCAAGATTTCTTTGGGCAAAGCTTGTGTACACTTAAGGGATGTTTATGTATCTTATCAAAATGACTGAACAACACCAAAGATTAACTATTTCTAATTTTAAAGTGCATATATCTCTATGTATACACATAGCAAGTATAAAATAATTACTGTCTGAGGAAGGTGGCTCTATGTAGTGCTCTGTAAGCTCTCATTATTTTGTCTATCCTAATTTTTTGTGCTTTCCAATTTTTACAACAGTATGTACTGTTTCTGTACTTTAAAATTTTAATTGAAAATACCAATTCAAGTAAAGTAGAACCTATTCTTGTCCGTATGGTGCCTCTGTGTGCTCAAAGAGCACCTCTCAGCAATCTGCATGTTACTAATTGTGCCTTTAATTTAATTTAGATTGCATTTTATTTCTGTTTTACTTCACTTTATGTGGTAAATCAGTTGTTCATCTGTCTCGTTGCTGGTCTGTGAGCTCTATGAGGGTGTGTTTCATTATATTCTCAGCACTTAGTGTGTGATGTGTAGGAGAGTCCTAGGTAGTGACTAAACAATGTCACTGTTACAGACTGCAGAATTTAATACCTGTGTTAGTAAATTGTCATAGACACCTCAGTCCCAGCCGGACAGTTCTACATTCTCCCCCTAAAACTTGTATCTGCTGTAAGTTTCTGCAGTCATGCTAATTCATTTGTGCCATGCTCTCTGGCCGAGCCGTTTGCAGGGTTGTTTTTTTTCTTGAGTAATTTTTCATTGTTTACTTTTTATTTTTATTGCGATTTTTTTCAATATACCAGGCATACTCAGGAAACTTAATCATCTTTTCATATCTGTTCCTCCTGTACTTGCTAGTCTCCTTGAAATGCTGATTCAAGGTTTTGTCTATCTAGAATTCATTCTAGAAATGCGGTAGAGGTCTGAGTGCAGATCAGCGGGAGAGCCCACTTTCTGTATTATTTTAAGTGGTTTGTTATTGCACTGAGTGGTAACAGTAAATCCTGAAATCCCTTTGAAACTAAAAATGGAACTGGAGTGATGGCTCAGTGGTTAAGAGCACTGGGTGTGTTTCAGAGGACCTGGGTTCAATTCCTAGCCCTCACACTGTCTCACAAATAGCAGTGACTTCAGTTTCAGGGTATCTAATGCTGTCTTCTGTCCTCTATTGGCATCAGCCTTACATGGGCATTTTCTAAAAATCAGTATTGATTTCCGGGGCTGTCTCCAAAGTATCTGAGTTGTAATCTCTTAAGGTGGAGCCTAAGAGACTACATTTTTAGAAACTTCAATAATTGTATAAGTGTGCCTGTATGTGTTTGTAGACCAGAGGTCAGTGTTGAATGTCTTCCTCACTCTCACTTTATTTACTTGTTTGTTTGCTCATTGTTTACATAGTCTCTTTATGGAGCCCTGGCTGTCCTGGAACTTTCTGAGGAGATTATGCTGGCCTGAATTTCAGTCATGCATTTTACATTTTGAGACAAGTCACACTCACTATACATAGACTCACTGATTCCACTAGACTAGCTGGTGGTGAGTCCCCAAGGATCTTCCTGTTTCTGTCTCCCCAGTGCTTAGGTTACTAGTATTTTACATGAGTTCTGGGGCTCAAACTCAGGTCCTCATACTTGAGAACTTTGCTGACAAAGCCATCTCTTCAACCTAGTGACCTAAAGAAATTTTATATTAACATCTTGATGTTAAATCTTGGGTTAGATCGTGCTAGTCTCTTGTGAATTTTCACCAACCTGTAGAATAAGAAAAATGAGGACCTATTGTGTTTTTCATAAAACCAAATTCACATGGTTTATCAAATTGTCTTTTGCATTAAAGTGAGCCTTCCCTTCGTTTTTCAGTGCTATTATAAAATGACATCGATAAGATTTTTGTATTTTGCAATTTAAAAAATTTGTAAACCTGTTTTGCTAAAGATATTTCAAAATATTTCTGGTTTATGAGTTCCTGAAGACTGTAGAGTACCTCAGAAATGTAGCAACTCTCAGAAATGAGATCCTTTGGAAGGTGAATCTGTAGAGGCTCTAAAGTCTGTAAGGCCAGATGAGACTCAGTCTAGAAAGATGTGCTCTTTGTGGTATATAATACTCTGAAGCTCTAGGGCATCACTGTTAGACATGTTCATACTTCTAAGCAAACAAGAGTGTTTGTGCCAGGTGAGTAAATGAAGGCCTCGTATCAGTTAAGGTCAAGTTTTACTACCAGCTAAGTTCTGACATGAAATACATGACGGGGGGGGGGGGGGGCTAAATTTTTTAAAGCTTTTGGGATGTTAAAGTTGCCTGTAAGAGATTATAGGTGGGGGCTGGCAAGGTGGCTCACAGTTAAGAACGCTGGCTGCTCTCCTAGAGAACCTGGGTTTCATGGCAGCTCTCAATTGTCTGTAACTTCAGTTCTAGGGGATATAATACCTTCATACAGATATACATGTAAACAAAACACCAATGTACATAAAATAAGAATAAATTATTAAAAAATGTTTTTAAAAAAGAGATTATAGGTAGTCTGAAAGTATTAGCAATCACCAGATTGAATGTTAAGGGGTAGAGTGTATTGTAGTTTAAACATACTGATAGGTAATGGTGTTCCTTCCAGCTACCTCAATTCTCATACCAAATAGAATTTTTTTTTCTTCAGCTCCTATTCCCTGGCTATTTGCACTATTTGAAAAAAATCAGTTGGTTTTCATAGCTTTTCTGAAATTAAATGTGTAGTAATTTAGAGCATGGGTTTATCAGGTGAGGTGATAACATGCAATTAATTCCAGATGCCCAGGAGGCTGAGGCAGGAGCATGGCAAGTTTTCGGCCAACCTGGACAACTTAACAGGACCCTGTCCAAAAAACAAAACAAGCCAGGTATGGTGTCTCAAAAAACAAAACAAGCCAGGTATGGTGGTGCATGCTTTTAATTCTTGTACTTGGGAGGCAAAGGCAGGTCTTGTTCAAGGCCAGCCTGGTCTGCATCGTATGGTCTAGGCCAGTCAATGTTGACATAGTGAGACTAAAAGAAAAGTAAAACAAGCATCAGTATAGCTTCATAATAGGACACTTGCCTCCAGCATGGACTTCAGGAAAGAAAAATCTAAGCTTAAGTCAGGTTCTGGCACTTCCATGGTGAATTAATACCTCAGGCCAGATTGAAGAGCCTATGAAAGAATAGCCATCAAGTACTTGTAAGAACTGTAACTTCATTATTGTTCTATCCCCTGGATTTTGAGTGGTTCACTTGCTTTTTTCTATATTCTAAGTTATTGGGAGGGGACTTTTCTTATTCTAAAAGGTCTAGTGCAGTGGTCTCAACTTTCCTAATGTTTACAGCGACCCTTTATTACACAGTTCTTCATGTTGTGGTGACCCCCCCAACCATAAAATTTTTTCGTTGCTACTTCATAACTTTAATTTTGTTACTGTTATGAAATGTAATGTAAATATTAAAAAAAATATTTTTTTGACACAGGGTTTCTCTGTGTAACAGTCCTGGCTGTCCTGGAACTCACTTGTAGACCAGGCTGGCCTCGAAGATTCACCTGCCTCTGCCTCCCGAGTGCTGGAATTAAAGGTATGTGCTGCGCCACCACCCAGCTATAAGTAAATATTTAATATGTGATCCAAAGAGATCAAGACCCACAGGTTGAGAACTGCTGGTCTAGGGGAACTTGGCTTAAATGCTTTCTTCATGACTTTAGTTCTATTCTTACAGTTGACTTACTTAGTCCAAGGCTCCTGAGCAATTTTTCCCAAGGTCTTGAGGTGTAGTTCATTCCACTACTAAAGCTTTTTCCTTTATAAAACCTCCCTATTCCTGACCTATTTGTCTTCTCTGTGCTGCCATATAGGGAAGCACTCTCCTCCTTCCCAGAGAGCAGTTCTGCCAGACCTTGGCCTCCTGAACAAGATTCCATCAAATAGTTAACTTAAAAAGTTTGTCCCAGCCGGGAGGCAGAGGCAGGCGGATCTCTGTGAGTTCGAGGCCAGCCTGGGCTACAAGAGCTAGTTCCAGGACAGGAACTAAAAGCTACGGAGAAACCCTGTCTCGAAAAATAAAAAAAAAAAAAAAGTTTGTCCCACTTGAAATATGGCTCTTCCCAGGAAGCTTTGGTGTGTGTGTGTATCTCTTGTGTTTCTGTCTCATTAAAACATGTTTAGGCTCTCTTCTCCTTCTTAGTTATGACAGTTCTTTTTATTTTTCTTCTCAAAATTGTATCAGACACAATGGTCATTTGGTTGGTCTTGGTAGTATAGAATTCTTTGACTTCAGATGATTCCACTGTGGCAGCTTTTTTGTCTGGCCTTCAGCTTATGAGAAGATCATGGCCACTAAATAGTAAACAAAAACACATAAACATTTTGTAAAAGTCAGCTTTAAGTAGCTGAAACTGTCAGAAACAGATCGGAGCAGGGAGTCATCAGTTTTGCAAAATGCAAAGTGATCATATTCTTACCCTGAAAGGCACAGACATCCTTGAGAAGAGAGACTTGGAATACCAGTACATTCTAGAAATGACAGATATCAGCAAAACCATTTCTTGAGGGCCAGGAAGTGGGTGCACAGATGCATGCTAGAAGCTCACTCTCAGGAAATCTTCAAGGTTACAAGTAGACTATTCCTAATACAAATAATTTGAGTCCAATTTTCTTAGAGAGGTGATTACAGGGGAGATCCTGTAATCCGGTGCAGAACTGTCTTCAGACTCTAGAGTGGGGAAGAAAGACTCTTAGCAGAGATGTCTTCAGACTTCTGTCGCTTCATTTCTGACAGTTCTGCTTTTGTTGTCAGTTAACATTAGAGACTTGGTAAGAAAAGTAACACTTTTTATGTGTAATAATTGCCTCAATTTTTTATTAGTCTTTGTTAAAGAAAAAAGACATTGTTTTAACAATGGTATATTTCTTTTTGGAGTTAAGCTAGAGAAATCAGGATCCCTCTGCTGACCCCTATTTGATGTTTTCTGAAAAGATGATTTACTGCCTTCAGCTAGGGAAAATCTGAAGATGGATCTGGGTACAATCTTGTTATTAAATATTGGTAAATCTTTTCTCCCTTTGGAAATGCTTTTAAGTGTGTTATGGAGCCTACTGTGATTTTTGTACATATTCAATAGGATAATGTCATAGAACATCTGTCTTTAGGGCATTGTTTATGAAAGTCTATGGTCTGTTAATAGGCATTAGGTTAAAAAATGAAATAAATAGCTAGTTGTGGTGGTGCACACCTTTAATTATCAGCACTCTGGAGGCAGAGGCATATAGATCTGTGAGTTCCAAGCTAGCCTGATGTTTGTAGTTCCAGAACAGCCAAGGCTATATATATATAGAGAGAGAGACCATATCTTAAACATACAAACAGGTATATGAGTCTGGTTGTGCAGTTAAAATAAAATAACTTTGACTGACTATTTATAAAGAACATGAGTTTTATTGCTTATAGCTCTGGATGTTAGGATCAAGGCAGTGTGACAGGTTTGCTTTTCTTGTGAGGCTGCCCTGTTTGCAGGATGGCACCTTTTATCCTCTCTGCTGTTCTCACAAGGTAGAAGACAGAAGGGTGAGAGAGCCAGATGCTATGTGGAACTCCTTTGAAAGCCCTTAATCCCACTTGAAAGAGGAGCTCCCAGGCCTCGTCCCCTCCTCAAGGTGATGCTCTTACTATTGTCATTCTAAGTCAGCACCTGAATTTTGGATGAGTTACATTCACATCATAACAATAATAAACTAATAGATAAAAATAAAAGAAATTACTAAATTAATAAAATTAGGAAGTATTTGGTAAATCGAACAAGACTTCTTAGCTATGTATTCCATGACTGTGTGTGTGTGTACATGTAAGCATATATAATCACATATGTGCATATGTAGAGGCCAGAGGTCAGCATTAGGTATCTTTCTCAATTGCTCTCCATCTTTTTTTTTTTTTTTTTTTTTTGGAGACAGTGTCTCTCACTGAACCTGGAGCTCTTTGATTTCCCAAGGCTGACTTGCCAGCAAGTCCCAGAGATCCTCTTGTTTCCACTGCCCTAGCCCTGCATCTGGCTTTTTTCCATAGGTGTAGGGATTGAATTCAGGTTCTTACTTACACAAGTACTGTACCCACTGAACCATCTGTCCAGCACTTCGTTATGAGATTTATTTGTTTCAAAGCTTTCCTTAGACTAGTATTTAAAGAATGTTAGTTTGAGAATTGTTGTAGAAATTAAACTAATTAGAATTTCTGTTCCACATAGAATTTTGCCACTGTATTAAAGGAATGGCCTATAGTCCTCTTTAGGCTTTTTTTTTTTTCTTTCCTTTTTGATTTTTCGAGACAGGGTTTCTCTGTTTCTATTTCTTTAGCAGTTATAGGTCTATTTAATTTGCTTATCTGGTCTTGATTTAATTTTGGTATGCGATATTTATCCAAAAATTTCCTTTAGGTTTTCTAATTTTATGGAGTACAGGTTTTTGAAATATGACCTGATGATTATCTGGATTTCTTCCATGTCTGTTGTTATGTCTCCCTTTTCATTTCTGATTTTGTTAATTTGGATATTCTCTCTCTGTCTTTTGGTTAGTTTGGATAAAGGTTTGTCTTTTGTTGATTTTCTCAAAGAACCAACTTTTTGTCTCACTGATTCTTTGTATTTTCTTTGTTTCTATTTTGTTGATTTCAGCTGTCAATTTGATTATTTTCTGCCGGTCTAGTTTTCTTGGGTGAGTTTACCTCTAAAGTTTTCAAATGTTCTGTTAACTCATTAGTGTGGGATTATCCCAGCTTTTTTATGTAGGCACTTATTACTGTGAACTTTCTTAACACTGCTTTCATTGTGTCCCATAAATTTGGGTAATTTAGGAAGTCTTTATTTCTTCCTTGACCCATTCATGATTCAGGTGAGCATTGTTTAATTTCTATGTGTTTGTGGGCTTTCTGGAATTTGTGTTGCTGTCGAATTCTAGTTTTAAGCCATAGTGATCTGATAAGATACATGAATTTATTCCAATTTTTTTTAATCTGTTGAGATTTGTTTTGTTACCAAGTATGTGGTCAGTTTTTGAGAAGGTTCCATGAGGTGCTGAGAAGACGGTATATTCTTTTATGATTGGATAGAATGTTGTTTAGATGTCTGTTAAGTCCATTTGAGTCATAACATCTGTTAGTTCCCTTATTTCTCTGTTAATTTTCTGTCTGACTGATCTGTCCAGTGATGAGAGTAGAGTGTTGAAGTCTCCCACTATTAGTGTGTGGGGTTTAATGTATAATTTAAGCTTTAGAAGTGTTTTTGTTTTTTGTTGTTGTTGTTGTTTTACCATATGAGAGTGCCCTTGTATTTGGGGCATAGATGTTCAGTATTGAGATTTCCTCTTGATAGATTTTTTTTCCTGTGACTCATATAAATCTCCTTTTTTTTGTCTCTTTTGATTGATTTTAGTTTGGAGTCTATTTTGTTAGATATTAGGATAGCTACACAAGCTTGTTTCTTAGGTCTATTTGATTGGAAAATTTTTTCCCCAACCCTTTACTCTGAGGCTATGTCTCTCTTTAAGTTTGAGGTGTGTTTCTTGTTTGCAGCAAAAGGATGGATTCTGTTTTCGTATTCAATCTGTTAGCCTGTGTCTTTTTTATAGGTTAGTTGAGTCCATTTATATTAAGGTATATTAATGACTAGTGATTGCTATCTCCTGTAATTAAGTTCATTGTTGGTGATGTTAATTTGTGTGTTTTTCCCTTTGGGATTTGCTGCTGTGAGATTATCAATTGTCTGTGTTTTTGTTGATGTAGCCAACTTCGTTGGGTTGGAGTTTTCCTTCTAGTACTTTGTGTAGGCCTGGGTTTGTGGCTAGGTATTGGTTAAATTTGGTTTTGGTATGGAGTATCTTGTTTTGTCCTTCTATGGTGATTGACAGTTTTGCTGGGTATAGTAGTCTGGCCTGGCATCCATGGTTTCTTAATGTCTGTATAACACTTGACCATGGCCTTCTGGCTTTCATTGTCTTCAATGAGAAGTCAGGTGTAATTCTGATAGGTGTGCCTTTATATGTTACTTGGCCATTTTCTTTTGCAGCTCTTAATATTCTTTTTTTATTCTGTATATTTAGTGTTTTGATTATTATATGGCAAGGGGACTTTTTTTGGATCCAGTCTGTTTGGTGTTCTGTGCTTCTTGTATCTTCATAGGCATATCTTTCTTTAGGTTTGAAAAGTTTTCTTCTATGATTTTGTTAAATATATTTTCTGTGCTTTTGAGTTGAACTTCTCCTTTTTCTATAACTATTATTTTAGGTTTGGTCTTTTCATGGTGTCCCATATTTCCTGGATATTTTGGGTTAAGCTTTTGTTAGATTTAATGTTTTCTTTGACTTATGAATCTATTTCCTGTATTGTATCTTCGGCTCTTGAGATTCTCTGTTCTATCTCTTGTATTCTGCTGTTTATGTTTGCATTTGTGGTTCCTGATCGTTTTCTCATGATTTTTGTTTCTATAATTCCCTCGGTTGTCTTCTTTATTGTCTCTATTTCAGTTTTCAAGTCTTGGATATAGTTTCTTTCATATGTTTTTTTCTTGGTTTTCTTTAAGGGATTTACTGATGTCTTTCAGTTTTTTGTCTCTTCTTCCATTTCTTTGAGGGGATTTCTTATTTCCTCTTTAAGAGTCTCAAACATTCTCTTGAAGTTATTTTTAGGTCATTTTCTTCTGCTTTACCTATATTTGGTTGTTCAAGTCTTGCTGTTGTAGGGTCTCTAGATTTTACTGATGTTGTGTTACTACTCTTTGTGTTCTTATTTTGTCTACTCTTCTTTTTCTCTAATTGGTGAGTTTGGGGCTGTCTGTGATTCTGATGATTAATCTTCTAGGTGCCAGTGGATCAAAGGCTCAGATGGTTGTTCCTCATGTTACACTCAGCCCCACGGTTTTTGTTACCCCTTTAGTCACTCCATTTCCTGGAGGTCGCTCAACTCTCCCAGGGTTTGCTGTCTCAGTCTTGCTCTTGTCAAGTTGCCAGCTCAGACCTTTTTCTGTGAATGTCCCTGGTCTGGATCTGCTCCTGCGGAGGTCCCTGGCTTGGGGTTGGTCCTGCAAAGGTCTCTGGCTCCAATCTACTCCCTTGGAGGTCCCAGACACCAGTGCGCCCAGACCCACAGAGGGCCTGGCTCAGGCCTACTCCCTCAGAGGCCCCAGACTCATGCTCAGACCTGCAGGGGTCCTGCCTCAGGTCTATTCCCTTGAAGGTCCCCGATTCCCTGGACTGCAGCGATTCCCTGGACTGCAGCGATCTCTGACTCTGACCCACTTGTTCAGCAGTTGTTCCCCTGTACCTGCTGCTGTGGAGTTCTGTCTCAGGTCTGCTCCAACCCAGGTCGCTAGCTCAATCCTGCTCTTGTGGAGTTCACTGCCTCAGGCCTGCTCTGGCCTAGGTAGCTTGGCCTACTCCTGTGGAATTTATTGCCTCAGGCCCACTCTGGCCCAGGTCTCTGGCTCAGTTCTGTTCCTGTGGAGTTCGGTTGTCCCAAGCCTGCTCCAGCCCAGGTCCCTGGTTCCAAGCACTAATTCTTTACGAAATAAATCTTGGATCTTCACAACAGCTGGCAGGCCCAGTCCGCCACAGCACTCCACACCATCCAGGGCCACTTCCTTCATCTTGGGACTCACTGGGACGTCCCTTTTTTATGTTTTTTTTTTTTAAAATTTTGAGATAGTACCTCACTACGTTATTCAGTCTGATCTTGATGTCACTATAGTCCCTGCAGGCCTTGACTTTTCAATCCTCCTGCCTCAGCTTCCTTAATAACTGGGATTACCAGCCAGTGCCACAGCCCTGACTTTGTCAACTTGTAATTATAAGTAATTACAGGACAGTTGAGTTTTCTGTCTTTTTGATAAGCACATTAAGAGTGTGTTTGTGAGTGCTGTTTTGCATTAAGTGGAGAGTATTGGAGTATTTATGTCTTGTAGTCAGAATAGGAAGGCCTAACAGGATAATTCCATAGTTGTTTTCTATTAAAATCTAAACCACCTCTCATAAAAATGGAAATATGGAAGATAAAATCATTCTAATTAGAGGGTGTCTGGGACTTAGTTGTTCCATCTCTGAATATATAGTCTTCTGATAGCCCCACCCTACAGAAAACAAGCCACCATTCCTGCTCTTATTTTTCCAAAGCCCCCACCAAATTTATACTTAGTGAAGAAAGGCTTTGTTGAATATGAGAGGAAAAGCACATAATATGAAGAAAATATGACGTAAAAGAAATTCTACATAAAAGACTGATGAAGTTGTGTGTTATTGTTTATTTAAGACAGTGTCTCATTTTGTAGCATAGGCTTGCTTCAAACTCATGATCTTCCTGCCTCTACAATGCTGGGGTAACAGTGGGAGCCATCACATCAGTTATAAATCTGTTGTTGTTTTCTTTTGGTACTACAGATTGAACCCTAAATAGTATGTGGCTGATTCTGTCACCTGAGAAGATGAAGCAGGTGAATTTCAAGTTCAAGGCCAGCTTGGACTTCAGAGTAAGACCCTGTCCCAAAAAATGTGTGTGTGTCCATGCAAGTATGTGTATGGGTATGACCCTGCAAATAATTAGGAGAAGCAAAAAGAGTAACCAGGGAGCTGGAATTTGATAGGGCACTTTGGCAGCTGTGTTGCAGCACTACTGCCACAAGTTGGAGTGTCTTATGTGGCTTGGCAGTAGATGATCTCCCTCTACATGCTCTTCCTCTCTCTTCCTCTTGTTCTGATTCATTGCTCACCCTGCCACCATTTATTACTAGTATGAATTCCACCTGTTTGGACTTTAGATCATGGGAGTATCTCAGCTATTCAAAAGTAACAGTTGGGCCAAGCATGGTGCTTCGCACCTTTATCCTAGCATAGACAGGAGAGTTCAAGGCCAGTCTGATCGATATGGTGAGTTTCTGTCCAGCCAGAACCACAGTAATAGTAATAGTAATAATAATGATAGTGACGATGAGGATGATAGCAGCAACATATCCTCCTGCTTTCCCAGGACCTAGACGGTCCTTTATTTCTTCTGTCTTTACTAGAGCCTCTTACTGTCACTTAACATGCACTGACCTTATCAGTGTGAAGATAAAAGTTTCTGTCAACCTCTTGACCCTCTAGATTCCACAAAGTCCTGCTACCTCCTTTGGCAGCTGTCTCTCAATGTCACCTGCTGGTTGTTCCACCACCTTTTGACCTTGCCTCTTCTTTCTCTTCATGGAGATTGCTCTCATTCGGTTATTAAGCATCCTCCATGCTCTTGCCTTCTATAGACTCCTCAGCTGTTTCTTGTTCAACCTTTCAGCAATCTTAAGCATCCATAGGCACTGTCTGGGCATGCATTAGTGTGTCTAATAGCTGCTGTAACAAAATTACTATAAACTGATAGCTTAAAACTGATTCTCATAGTTCTGGAGGCCTGCAATCTGAAACCAATATAGCTGAGCCCCATAATCCCTCAGTGGTTCCAGGGAAGGCTTTATTCTTGCCTCTTCTAGCTTCTGCTGGTTATCAGCCCTCTTTGAAGGGGATATCACTCTGGTCTCTGCCTCCCTGGCCACATTACCTCTTTCCTCCTGTCTTTCTGCAATCACCCCCTCCTTGTGTTTCTTCTACAGGAACACTTACTAGAATTCACTTGGATAATTCTAAATGATCTCTTTGTCTCAGGGGCCTTCATTTAATTACATCTACAAAGTCTCTTTTTCAAAATAAGAAAGTACTGCTTCCAGATTAGGATGTGGACTTACCTTTTAGGGGGCCTTTTACTTATTCTAGTGCACTGTTATTATCTGGTCTTAGCTCTCAGCTGCTTTTCAATTTCATTTTAATGTTGTCTTCCTCTGCCTCAGGTGCTGACACTTCAGGGCTGGGTTCTTTTTTTCATCTCCTTTGCTGTTTCTCTTTAGATAGTGTATTTAATTACCATTTATATAAATGACTACTCCACTTGTCTATGTTTAGCTAGACTTCTATTCTTGCTACATATAGCCAGGCTATATAACATCAACACTCAAGTGATTTGGAGGCACTGCAGATTTACCATGTCCACAGTAGAGTTCATCACATTTCTTAACTATTTCTCTCTCCCCTTCACCATCCAAGAAAGGTTTGCTTTTTTCAGAGTTCTATAGCCAGTGAATGACTCCTATCCACTTGAGTCCTTGGCAATTCTTTCATCCTGACTTTCCACACCTAGTTCAACTCAGAAAACCATCAGATAGTTTGGGATCTGCTATTTCTTCTTTTGCTGCCACCATTGTAAACCAAACTGCACCAGGGTTCGTGTTAGCAGTCTTTCAGGGCTCATCCTGTACTCTCAGCTCTACTCTAGTTTCCACACAACAAACAGAATTTAAGCCATTTTACTTTGTGACTGAGAATTCCTTATAATGATTTCTTTTGATTTTAATATAAAGCCCTAGATATTTCTTACGGTCTCAGATCCTTTTAAGTACTGGCCATGTTTGCCTTTCCATATCATCTTTTTCTTCTCATCTTCCTTCTGTGTGCTCAGCTGTCTTCTTTGAGTTTCCGAAAGTGTTCTCCTGGATGAGTCTCTGAACAGGCTTTTCCCTGCTCCTCCTCATTGGTAGCTTAGATCCTTAGGTTTGAGTAAAATTGCCCATTCCTAGATTGAATAACCCCCACCTTGAATGTTCAATTAGTCCTTTTTACTTCTCCATTTATGACACAAACTACAATAATTCTTTTTTAAGACAGAATTTTGCTACAGGCTGGCCTAGAACTCATGACCTTCCTCCCTCAGCTTCCTGGGTGCTGGAATTATAGGCATATGCCACCATACCTGACTCATAATTATTTTTAATTGTTTACTCATTTCCCTTTTGAGAGAATGTAAGTACCACTAGGGAAGGAACTGTGTACATTGCCAAAACAATGAGTATCCTAAATAGACTTAGATGTTAATGAGCAAATGAATTTAGCTAAAAATCTGAGTTGCTAAAATGTAATTTAAAAGGGTCAATTTGGAGCTGGGTAGTGTGGCTCACACCTTTAATCCCTGCATTCAGGAGGCAGAGGCAGGCAAATCTCTGTAAGTTTGAGACCAGTCTGGTCTATAGAGTTCCAGGATAGCCAGGGGTACACAGAGAAGCCTTGTCTTTTTTAAATACGGTGTGTGTGTGTGTGTGTGTGTGTGTGTGTGTGTGTGTTTGGAATGAGAGAGAGAGTCAGACAGACAGACTGTCTGACTCACTCACCGTGTATCTCTGGCTGGCCTGAAATTTGCTATGTAGAACAGGCTGGTCTTGAACTTGCAGAGATCTGCCTTCGCTGCCCCCCTTCCCTGGCCCTGTGCTGGGATTAAAAGCATGCATCACTATGCCAACTCAAAATCCAATTAGCCAGCCTGATTGGAGTAATGAAACTAGAAACTAGAATAACATATGCGCAAGTGTTGGCATGTGCACATGCATACATTTTGACATAGGCTCACGTGCAGCCCAGGCTGGCCTCAAATTTCCCATGTAGCCAAAGATTATCTTGAATTCCTAATTCTGTCTATTGAATTTACAGATGTATAATAATACTGCACCTAGTTTTGTTTTATGTGGTGCCAGACTGTGTTAGAAAATATAAATCACTTTCATTACTTTTTAGTATATTTTGTTAATAGTAACCCATTCAAAAGTCCTAAATATTCTTCACAGAGAAATTGTGACCATGGACATGATTCAGGCTATAGCTTCTGAAAGCCAGGGACACTGCTCAGTTAGTAGAGCATTTGCCTGGCATGTAAGAAGCCCTGGGTTTGATTCTGTAGTACATGATAGATGTATGCTTGTATATATGTGTATATGCATACACTAAATTTGGTTCAGAGAACAGCAGGTTTGGGCGTAACTATATTGATCTGGGAATTATACAAGTTCAGGGTGTTGAATTGACAAAGCATGTATTTTTAAACTGCCCTAGATATATTAACAGTCCTGTAGCACATTGTGGCTGGGAACTGAGACCCCTATTTTAAACTCTTGACTGTGGACATTCGGGTCTTGTGCAACCTTCATGCCCCTGCCTCCTGTGGACTGGGTTGCACACCCTGCATTTACTGTGCTTTTCCAGTTTTATCTGTAATGGAGTTGGCATTTTCAGTATGTTTCATGTTGATGGTTTGAATGTAAAGTGTCTTCCAAAAGGCTTGGTCTCCAACTGGTGTCACTATTGAGGTAGTTAGATCACCAGGATACTAACTTCATCAGTGAATTAATCTGTTGTTGAGTTTATTGATTATTGGGCTGTTGGGTCTTAGAGGAAGTCAATCACTACAAGTATGCCTCTAAAGGTTTTTGATGTTAATCCCTATAGTCCCTAACTTGCTTCTCTCTGTTTCTTAGATGCCATGAGGTAAGCAGCTTTCTTCAACCATCCCTTCTGCATTGATGTGGTGCAGGACTCTGTGGTGCAGGACTAAAACAGTAGAGTCAGTTGGCAGTGGTTGAAACTGTGAGCCAAAATAAATCTTTCCTTTTCTAAGATGTTGGTCAGATATATTGTGACTACATCAAAAACTAGCATATTTCAGATGCAGAGGAAGAATAACTTTATTGTTCTTGGATTTTCATAGTGCAGTACAAACCCAGACAAGATGTGAAGTCAATCTTAAGTAGGGTCTAATCTTGAAGCACTCCTTAGGCTGCCCTGCTTCATACTTTCTTGTTACTGCATAGCTACTTAGGAATCAAAGCAGCAGATGTTTACTGTGTGGGTGAGGACTCAGGGAGCAGCCTAGCCCTGTGCCTCTGCCTGAGAGTCTCTCGTGAAGTTGCAGGAAGGCTGTTAGCTGGGTCTGTGCTTAGTTAGCAAAGTATGATTGTGGGAAGATGTTCTTCCAAGCTCACACAGAAGTGGCTCACTTCCCTGTTACACAGGTAGCTCTATGGCATGACTGACGTCATGGCAGATATTCTGATTCTTTTTTTTTTTCTTTTTGGGTTTTTTGAGATAGGGTTTCCCTGTAGCTTTGGCGCTTGTCTTGAAAACTAGCTCTTGTAGATCAGGCTGGCCTCAAATTCACAGAGATCCGCCTGCCTCTGCCTCCCAAGTACTAGGATTAAAGGCGTGCACCACTACCACCCAGCGATATTGTGATTCTTAATCCTCATTGTGAAACTGAACTTTTTTTTTAATCTCTGACAACTCTGGACATATTTTGTTCATCTCCACTACATTAGACTTTCACAAGAATTTGCCTTGGTGTGTTGAAAAGGGTCGTGTTAAACAATGCAAACTGACAAAGCGGAATGGCCAGAAGCAGGTCAATGTTGAAGTGTTTGGGTGGTAAACTGGGGAAGAGCTGTGAATAGAATGTTGCATAAAACTGGGTTGGAAGTCAGTGATATTAGGGGTAGTGGTCCCACATCACCACGTATCTTCCCCACATTGAAACATCTATGTGCCTTCCAAGGAGCTGCCATCTCCAGCAGAATCTTCTGTTCCCAGCCAGCTACTAAACAAAGTTAGGGACACATTAAGGTACCAATTCACACTTCCCCAATAGTGTGATTCTTATACTAACCCATAACACAGAAAGGTGGCTTAACTCCTCATTTAGGTGCCCTCCCTGGCCATTTCGCTGTGTGAAACTTCTTAAATTACAGTTGAGGCTGGAGTGGTAGCACTTTGGTAGGATATACCCACCATACACTGACCCTGGGTTCACTCTCCAGCTCTGAAAAAAAATTAAATATTGTTGGATAGATTATGTCTAGTTAGTCAGAATATAGCTGTGATAGTACTTTGATTTTAAGCACTCTACATTTATATGGTTGTGTTATAGTTATATAGATTGCTGCTGTTTGAAAAAATAACTTTGCACTTAGTGGAAGCTGCAGGTTGATTGTAAAGTACAAATCAGTACTGTGAGCACTGAGAACTGCAAGAATTGTTTCTGTGTTTTTCTTTTCTTGAAGTATTTATGTTTAGTTCTACAACCTGATGATACTACAGGAAAATGAACTTGGCTTCTACTACTTTGTGTTTACAGCACAGATGACTTCTATGATCTCAAAATGTATGTGTGTGTCTCCCTCCAGAAAGTAGTCTGCTCTGCAGCAGAAACCAGCTGGGCAGTTTAACTCTGGAACTGTCTACCTAGAAGTAATGTCAGATCCCACAGATTGAGAGCTCAGTCCCAACACACAGCTTCCTCGCTTCAGACACCACTTGAAATTTCTATGACCAACTGACTGTCAGTTGGGATTCCTAATCCCCCATCCTTGGGTTTAGCTTACTGGTCTGCTCACAACTCAGGAAAATACTGATGTTGACTAGCTTAGTCTAAAAGATTTTTTTTAAAGATTTATTTATTTATTATGTACACAGTGTTCGGCTTCCATGCCTGCAGGCCAGAAGAAGGCACCAGATCTCATTCCAGATGGTTGTGAGCCACTATGTGGTTGCTGAGAATTGAACTCAGGACCTCCGGAAGAGCAGTCAGTGCTCTTAACCTTTGAGCCATCTCTCCAGCTCCCTAAAAAGATATTTTGTAGAAGACAAATATCACAGTGTTTGGTGTTAAATGCCTGCAATCCTAGAATTGGGGAGGTGGAGTCAAACGATCCAGTGAGTTAGAGATCAGCCTGGTCTACCTAGCCAGTTTCAGACCAACCAGAGATACATAATGAGACACCTATTGCAAAACTGAAGACAACAATAAAGAAATAGATAGCCAAATGAAGATAGGTAGGATTCCCGTCCCTGTGGAGCTGGGGTCCCTGCTCCCAGGTCATGAATGATTTCTTAATCACTTTTTTTTCTTCCAGTTTCTCGAGACAGGGTTTCTCTGTAGCTTTGGTGTCTGTCCTGGAACTAGCTCTTGTAGACCAGACTGACCTCAAACTCACAGAGATCCACCTGCCTCTGCCTCCCAGTGCTGTGATTATAGGCGTGCGCCACCACTGCCTGGCTCCTTATTCACTTTTCTACAAGCTTCCATGTGTTCAGCTCTGCAGAATGCTCCGAACCAATCCTCTTTGGGTTTGTTATAAAGGCTTCATTATAAAAGCATGATTGAAGCAGGATGACCCTCTAACAGTGTGACCAGACAGAAAGGGTGTGGTCTAATGCTAGAAAGCTGTTTAGGGAAACCCAGCAGGGCCTGTCTGTCCAGATTCTTCTTGGCCTCTGTGCAAGTTTGTCCTCCCAGCTATGGGCAGGACCTCTACTGAAATGGGGTTTATGATCAGTCTACAAGATCAGATTTGTTTATGGCCAGCCTGATATAGAAAGAGAGGCAAAGCTCAGAATATATCTTTGTGTTCTATACTTGTCTAGGGGGAAGAGAAGTGTTAGTTTCTATGACCTTCTATGAGGAGAAAGGGGCAGAAGATGACTGTGGTTTCTGAGGCCTAAAGCATCTCTGCATTACAAGAGACTGTCTGGGGCTGGAGTGCAGCTCTGTGGAAGAATGCTTGTCAATGTGTGCAAGGCCCTGGGTTCTGTCCCCAACACTGGAGAAAGAAGAGATGAATAAAGGATTGTCTTCCACCCTTACTAATACGTTTTCTGACGCTGCCTACCCTGCCACCCCCGCCCAGTAGGTGTCTCCACAGATGCAACTCCCTGGTGGATTCTCCAGAGATGGAGGCTGGAGCAGCTGTACACCTGAACTAAAACAGGGAAACTAGATAGGTTGTAGACGAGGGGTGATGATGTGTCAGCCACAAGCTGGGTTTGTGCCCAAGTGTGGTCAATAGCTGATCACTTTAGGCAACTGGCAACTTTAGAGGAGGAAGCTGCAGTAGCCACCAAGAATGTGAAAGTGGACCTCTTGGTGCCTTCCCTTTGTTTGGAGAGTCTCTGAGTGGGCACAGTTTGGGGAGAGAGGAATGGGACTTCTCAGACACCATGACTGTGGTAACTGTTATAAAAGAAAACGTTTAATTGGGTAGCTTACATTTTCAGAGGTTCAGTCCATTATCATCATGGTGGGGCATGGCAGCATGCAGGCGGACACAGTGCTGGAGCTGGAGCTTCGAGTTAATACATCCTAACTTGCAGGCAACAGGAAGTAGCTTGAGTATATATGAGACCTCAAAGCCCACCTCCACAATAACACACATCTTCCAGCAAGACCATACCTCCTAATAGTGTCACTCCCTTTGGGGAACATTTTCTTCCAGACCACCACACCATTGTGCCCCACTACTCAGTTATTAAGGAACTATACATCTGTATAATTGGTAACTATGTGATTGATGTCATATCATTTACAGACTAACAGTAGTGTTCATTTTCATTTCAAATTATTGGCCTACAACTTAAGAAGCTTCTGGAAAGATCTGGATTTTTAGATTAAAATTTCCTTAGTCCTTATCTTCACTTTTTGTCTTCTTTTATCTGTTTAGAATCTCCATAATGAATGGATCCAGTGTAGCAGGTACATCACCCAGTGTGAAATGCAAAGAGGACCAAGGGTTAAATGGACATGAGGAAAAGGAAAACCCATTTGCAGAATATATGTGGATGGAGAATGAAGAGGATTTCAATAGACAGGTAAGCAAAAGTCACTATCCCCGTGAGATACTGCAATCTTTTACTGTACTTGTAGGAACAGGGTGGTTCTTCTAGGGTTGATAAAGGCCTAACACACTCAGAGAGTCAGGGGTTCCAGATCTTGGTAGCCAGAGGCATATAGCTCAAGATAGAATCTATAGCTCTGGGTTCTAAGTCAAGGGCCTGACCCTCAGGACTTAGTGCCATCCTCTGCTCTTAAGCAGCAACAATCAGAGCTAGCCAGGATTATAGCTCCTAAATCCTCCCAAGCCCTCAAGGACCTGTAGTCTCTCCTTCCCTCTTCCCTTCCACCCCACCGTCCTTCATTGCCTCTGCTGCTTGTGTGGAGTTCTTCCCTGCTCTCTCACCTCCACTGACATTGCTGCTACTGTTGTCAAGTAGGGGCTACTACTGCAACACTTGCTGACATGCCCTTGTTGCTGTTTGTGTATCTCATCCTGGAAAGTCATACTAAAATTGTTAAGACAAAAAAATCAAGATTTAAGATGCAGTTTTAAAAATTGATAAGACAAAAGATCTATATCAAGGTTTCCAGGCAAGCCACAATTTCTGAATGGTATGAAAAACATCTTGCCTGTGAAATGGCTCTGTTGATAAAAGCAATTGCTGCCTTGACTTACAGCCTGAGTTAAATCTCTAGGACCCACATGGTAGAAGAAGAAAACAAACTCCCATAAGTTGTCCTCTGACCTTCACATGTGTGCAGTGACACATTGCACCTCCCTCCAATAATAAATAAATAAGCATAATAAAACATTTTAAGGCTATAATCCCTAATCCTAGTATTGATTGTCATTGGGTGGGTTGGAAGATGCACTATCACATGCACCTATGCATGTGGAGGTCAGATGCCAATGCTGTGTGTCTTCCTCTAGCAGCCTCCACTTCAGTTTTTGAAACAGAGTCTCTCTGAATCTGAAGCTGGTGATTGGCTAGACTGGCTGGCCAGTGAGTCCTTAGAGTTCCGTCTCTGCCTCAGGACACTGGGATTACAGGTACATACCACCACACCTAGCTTTTTACATGAATGCTGGGAATCCAAACTCAGGTACTCAGGTTTGTGCCAAAGCACTTTACCTGCTGAGCCATTTCCCCAGTCCCCTTATTGAGCTCTTTTGGGTGAAAATGTTCACTGAAAAGATGGTCATGGTGGTACATGCCTATAATCCCAGCATTTATAACAAGAAGCAAAGGGATCAGGAGTTCAAGGGTCTATTCAAATAAATAGTTGAACAAGGATGAGGCTTTTAGAATCAGATTGAAATGTCATATTGAGAGGGGGAAGACTAAGACCTAAATAAGGAAATATCACTTGTTTGAGGTTTCAGAAAGTAGTGGCACATGGTGGTACATACTTGTAATCCCAGCACTGGGAATTAGAGCCAACAAGAACAGTTCAAGGGCAGCTTCTGATACCTATCAAGTTTGAGCCTATCCACAGATACCTGACACCCTGATCCAGACAGATAACAACAACAGGAAGTATAACTCAATGGGCTGAAGAGACAATTCTACAGTTTTGAGTGCTTGCTGTTCTTGTAGAGGGCAGGACTTTGTTTTCCAGCACCTACATTGTAGCCTACGGCCATCTGTAACTCCAGCTCCAGTAGACCTAGTGCCTTTCTTCTGGCCTTTTCCTTCGCCTGCACACATGTGCACCCCCCCCTCATTAAAAATAATAAAATATTTTTTTTAAAGGAAGGATAACTCAGGAAACTACTTCTTGGAAGAAGAAACACATTAGTTATATTTGTGAATGATTTATATTCATACACAGATAATTTCAATACCAAAGAGAAAAGAGACTTGTGCTAAGTTGAGGGCAAACACCAATTTTATGTAACTTTTAGGATGTGTTGCCACTGGTGAGGCATGACATGGAATGTGGGAAGATGAAACCACTTAGATGGGTGTTAGGGATCTTTTACATACATATTCTCTAACTGGAGGTTTGTTTTGTTTTTTGTTTTTCTTTTTCTGTAAGTTCCTATCATTTCCCCATGGGTATCTAATAGCTAAAGTCAGAACAGGCACAATACTTATTCATGCCTCACAGTTGAGACTTGGGATCTTTTGTTTGGTTTTTTTTTTTTCTTTTTTCTTTTATGTTCTTAGTGCTAATTTCCCAACTATTACACAAAGAATACTGCTATAATAAGAGAAATAGATCACATGGCAAAGTCCTAAAAGAAGCAGCTATAGTAAAATTCTTGAACAGGGAATATGTAAGAGAATGGAAGGAAGGAGTATAGTGGCTTATACCTGTGATCCTAAGACTTGGTAGACTGAGGCAGGGGATTGATGTGAGTTCACAACTAGCCTGAGCTGTATACATACTGAGTTAGTCCAGCCCTGTCACAGAGAGAGAAGTAGAGACTGGACAGAGAAAATAAATGCCAAACATTTCAAACACAAAACTATAAAATCTTAATGGCTTAGAAATACTTTGTAGTTACCTAAGAGCTTCATAACTGTATAATTTATGAGATTTTAAAATGTTTAGGCAATTACACATTTAAGATACTCTTCTTTAGCTGGATAATGGAACATGACTATGATTCTAGCACTTGGGAGGAAAAGGCAGGAGGACCAGAAATTCAAGACCAGCCTCAGCTACATGGAGAGTTCAAGGCCAGCCTGGGATATGTGAAACTGTCTAAAAACAACAGAAACAGTCAAAAACTTGCTATTAGTAACTTTTTCTGAACATATGAGGCACAGTTGAGTGATTTTTTTTTTTGTTGTTGTTGTTTGATTTAGCTTATGGAGGTAATGAGCTATGAACCTGTTACCCAGCAAGAGGTGAGAAAGAGATTTGGCTGGCAAGTGTGGAGTGGCCAATGAGTTCACTGAAATCTGCCAAGTAAACATTGTCTGCAAAGGACTGGAAAATCCTAGATCTTTTTACATCAGTTGGTGACAGTGTTGAGGAAGTATGGAGTAGTTTAAATATTTTGTTCTTGTTTTAAGAGACACTGTATTATGACGTATATTTTTAATAATGTACCAGAAAGTGTTTTCTGTATCTCTCTAAGGTTCTACAAGTATTTTTCTGCCTTGAAGTTCTTATTACTAGAAAAGTGGATCAGGAGCTAATACTGATTTTGATTTAGTTTTCAGTATCCTAATTTCAGGCCAGTTACACACTTCCCATAAAAGATTTATGAAGACCTGAAGTTTCTGCCATTTTGTTTTTATTTTTTTATGGTTATCAGATCAGTTACTTCTCTGTTGCTGTGGTAAGATTCCATGACCAAAAGCAATTTCATGGAGGAAAGGGTTTATTTCAGCTCACAATTCTAGGGAGATATAGTCAGTCCGTCATGGCTGGGTTGAACAACGGACAAGCTTTGACAGTAGAAACGAAGCTGGCTGAGCACATGTTATTTCAAGTTGGAAGCAGAGAGAAAAAAAATAAAAATAAAATGGAGTACATTTGTAAATCTCAAAGCCTGCCCCCACTGATATACTTTCTTCCTCAGGACTCGACCTCATAAAGGTTCTGTGATGTCCCTGAACAGCATCACCAACTAGGGACCAAATATTTATAAACATGAACCAATTGGGAACATTTCTCATTAGCTTTCCTGCCATGGTTCTGAGTGAGGACGTCTGAAGAGAAGTGCTGGGGACCCCAGAGGGATCATGCTCTGGAATAGTTCCTCTTAGTCTTCCCCTTTGTTGGTAGGTGGAAGAAGAGCTGCAGGAGCAAGACTTCTTGGACCGCTGCTTCCAGGAGATGCTGGATGAAGAGGACCAGGACTGGTTCATTCCAGCACGAGACTTGCCTCAGGCTGTGGGACACTTACAGCAGCAGTTAAATGGACTATCAGTCAGCGACAGTCATGAATCTGAGGACATTTTGGTAAGACCTTCAGTAGTTCTACATGTGACATCCTGAAAGGAATATGATGTTTGGAGTCATAGATGTCTGTGTGGCCCTACACCCTACGTCACATCTCTGGAGCCTATCAGCTGACATGTCTTCACCCCTTAAATGGCTTCAGGTTCTGTGAAACTGTAGTCATCAGCCTTCATTTACCCTGATGCTCTCTGCCCTGGGATAAGATTAGAAGTCTTTCTCTTTCACTATCTGTACCTAATGTACTATGGCTCTGCCAGGAAAACTGTTGCTATTAGGAGGAACACACTCCTGACAGGCCAGTTTATACTTAAGTTAAGCCAGAGAAGTGAGTTCCTTGTCTTCTATTGATGTGGCTGGAATTCTGCGAGCACTGTGGTTCCCACATAGCTTGTGAATAGCTGTGGCTTGCAATGAGCCAAGACTCACAAGAACACCAAGGTGCATGGAAAAATGAGAAAAATAGAGGTTCTAGTATCTAAACTGGCTTCATGGAATATTGTTTTTCACCATGTTAATCTGTTCAGTGGCTTGAAGTGCTGTTTTGGAATGAATGTCATTCATAGATTCAGGGGAATATCTTGAAATGGAGTGGAAACAGGAGGCAGGAGCCTCTGAGAACAGTTCAGCCATAGCATGGGCTGATAAGACTCTTCCTTCTTCCCTGAGGCTTACCAAGAAGGGCACTGTGGTGTGGCTCAGTTGTGGAACACTTGCTTAGCATATATCAGAACTCAAAAACAAGATTTAATGATTTGTTACTTTTCTCCCAGTCTTCCCTGTACTTTTATCTCTCTGAAGGGCTAGAGAGTTGAACCTTGTACATGCTAGGCAAGTACTCTATCAATAAGCTTCATCCCTAGCCCGAAAATAAGTTTTAAAGTGTAATAGGATGTGAAAGCAGAAAGATGACCATCAGTATGGGGAGGGATAAGAGGCAGGTAGCAGCAGAGTCAGTGATGCTATAGTGAAACTCATTATTTAGTATGCTAAATTAATTTTTTTATCATGAAAAAAATAATAAAAGTACAGCTTGCTTTGAGTTATATTTTCTCTTGATTTTCATTTCAGAGCAAAAGTAACCTGAATCCAGATGCCAAGGAGTTTATTCCAGGAGTGAAGTACTGAGCTTTTGGAAGCTTCCAGAAGGACTTGTTTTGTCCCCGTACCTGGGGCCAGCAATGCACAAAAAGGCAGCGCTGAAGGGGGGTGGCAAGGGTGTGCAGCCAGGGCGGGTTGGGTTGGGAAGGTGGTTTAACTGGATACTGTGACTGAGTAACGAATGTGCGAGGTACTACTCTCCAAGCTCTCTGAGCATGGCTCTTCTGTTCTGCTGACTTGTTCAGAGAAGTTTCCCATTTTATTTTATTTTTTGAAGAGCTCTTTGGAGTTAAGGAACTGCAGTTGTTTTTTTTTCCCTTGTTAGAAATGTTCTGTCTGTATTCAAGCAAAGTAAGCTGACCAAGGAAAGCAGTATTTAAGAAATATCTTCCCTGCTGTGTATCTGCCAGGAGCAGGGCATCTGGAGAGCGTAAGGAATTTACAGCTGAGTGGTAAGAGGGAAAAATAGAACAGGAGATATAAACCAGTTGCAACATTCAGCTTCCCCACCCCTGACATTTCCATGGTGAAGTGGTGAACTAAGTGGCAGAGAGAGCCCTTGTCTTCTTGCCTGAGCTCTGCTCTACTAAAGAAAACACAGATTGGAAAGTTCTTAGGTGAATGTAACTGGATGGTTGCAAGTTGTACATCAGAAGAGCAGGGCTTGATGGGGGCTGTCATTTAGTTGCTGCTGGCCTGGTGTTGAGCATAGGTGTGTAGCTGCTGTCGCTCATTGTTTACAGGTAAAAGTCACATAGAGTTGCTTTGCCTTCATGATTCTCATGCGGGCTACTCCTGGCCTCTTTCTCTCACAGCTCTAAAAGACACTATTAGCCAAAGTCTGAGACTGACCTTTTGTTGGGCTAGTTGCATCTTGAATCTTCTTGGACAGTTTTGGTTTTGTTTTCCTTAGTCCCATCAATATCTGACTCTTACAGTGTCTTAATTCCCTCAAAGATTTCTGTATTTTTTTTTTTCAAGGAAATACATTTTTCTAAACACTAGCAAGCTGCTCAGCTCAGTTTGGGTGCTTCTCCTGCCTTACAGAGTGATTCCCAGAAACTAAGCTACTGAGGAGTCCTGCCCGAGAATACAACAGAGCTCCTTGGAGCTGTTAATGGGTATTAATGCTCCCACAAACTAACTTTTTTCATTTCCTAAGCTAGGTGCACCCTTAGTTCTACCTGTAACTCACTAGGGTTTGGTTGATCTTCTGTCAAACTGAATTCCACTGGAAGCTGCTGCTGTGAGTAGAGGCGAAGGTGGTAATGTTGAAGGGGAAAGGACAAGCGTCCTCTCCTGTTCATACTCCCAGGACAAGGGATTTGGAGAGGCCTGAGACTGCTGTGGCTTGTGTGTGACTGTCACTGTGCTGTGCATTAACTCTGGAAGGATCATGTAGCTTCCAGTCTGTCAGCTTAGCATGTGGATGTGGGCAGAGATTGGGAGGAAAGGACTGGGGTCTGAAAAGTTGAAACATTTCCCTTTTTCATAAGCTGGTTTTCCAGCTTTCCATTTTGTCTTGGTACCAGGAATAGAACCCAAGGTCTCATTTATGCTAGGTTAGTCCTACCCTTGAGCTGTTCTCAACCCTCCCTTGTTGACTTGTAGACAGCCCCAGCAGTTAAACACAAACTTCCCTGTTTTTCCTATTAAAGTCTCATAGGATGGCATCTTGTGACAGTGGCCTTCTCCCGAGGCCACATGATAGTGACTAGCTCAGGGAACTTGTATGGCCAGACACACATTGACTCCCAAAGCCTCTCCCTCAAGAGACTAGGAACTCCTAGTCCTCTAGGAAGACTTTATTCCTGCTCCAGCTTTTAGCTTGGCTTTCCACTTATAATAAGGAGAAGGGTAAGGGTGGGGCATAAAAAAGATTCTGCCGCAGTCTCCTCTAGGCTTTTGGAGTTCAGAATGCATCAGGATTGCAGGAAGATTCTTGAGAATCTCTATCTGCATATAGTGCATCCTCCTCTGAGTACCTGGCTGTAAAGCCTGTGTAAGCCTGAGGAGGTTTTGTTCTATCCTAAAGTTTTACCCTTTGGAAGCCAAGCTGCTAGTTGTGGTCTAAAAGGCCTACCTTCCTTCCTACTTTGCTGGCTCTTTTTACTTGGATGTCAGTCTCTGTTCTTTTGTCGAGGGTGCATTTGGTTAATACTTCTAGAATGCTGTTGTGTATGCCTGGAAACAAGTGCTGGTATGTTGGGTCTACCTCATAGGCAAGCATGCTGACTCCAGGCTTGGGGTACAGCCAATGAGGCTGAGCTTAGTACATGTGGTATGACTTATTCCTATGGCCCAACTCTTCTTTCATCCAATGTTGTGAGGTAGCATAATTGTGCCCTAGACTACAGGCTCAGCCTTAGTTTGCAAACTTAGCAGAAGACTTTTGGGGTTTCGTAGGTTCCCCCCTTGGGAATCTATACAGCAATATAAAATGTACTTAATAGTTGCTGGTCTGGCTGGCCCCAGTCTTCTTTTATTAGTGACTAAGTTCTAATTGTGATTATTTGACTCTTTAACTTTTTTCTTTTGTTGGGGGAGGGATAAGGGACTGCATAAGATATTGTAGAGGTAGGCAAAACCTAGGTACTGTATTTAAGGGTCTGGGGCTAGTTTCTGTCTATAGTGTACCTGACTTTAGGTTATCATATAAGCAAACTAGAATATAGTCTAAAGATTGATCTTTTTTTTATTGAACCCAGGATTTCACATGTGCTATGCAAGCACTACACCAAGCTGCATTCCCGACCTGTGAGAGGCTAGGTCTTGGTAGCATTCGTATTTCCAAAGTCACAAGAACTATGATTGCTTCACTAACCATGGCTTTAAAATAAATGTTTTTAGTGAACTATTAGGCATTTTCCATATTATTGTTATGTCAAGGGTTTATTTTGACTTTAGAGAGACTAAGATGCAAGTAAAGAGCTCTGCCAGCCAGCACCTTCAATGAGCCAGGAAAGGGGGGCAGCCAGAGTGAACCTCTTGATTGGGGATATGGTAGATGAGCGTGTGACTGGCTGGCTTCCTGAGTTTGTGTCCTGTTGCTAGAGGGGACAGGCCTCTGCAGTAAGAGTATTGGTATTGCATGCTATTAGTCTAGGTTTATAGAATGTCAAGGATAGGAACTTACAGGTCTGACAAATTTGACTAGAAGTTGGAAGTACCCACTTCTTGGAAAAGGTTATCCCAGCCACTCTCATCTGGGAGAACAGGAATGGGAGGCACTAGTTTTGTCAAGTAGGAAGAGAAGAAAGGATGCTGGTGTGTGAAACAGACCCTGAGTGACCTGTCCATTCACAATTGCCATGAGACTCGTTGCCCCCTAGGATGGCTCAGTGCAGTGGATGTGAGCGCCTCCAAAGTCCATTCTGCTACCTGGAGGATGTCACCAGACTTAGACATCTTCTAGACTTCACAGTCTGGAAGGAGGTGGGACTCTTTTTCCTATGTTTAGTCTCCCACAAGAAGCTGCTGGTGGTGATGGGAACAGAGAAGGAGTCTGCCCAGGCAAACATTAGACTGCATACTACCCTGCTGTCATACACCACACTGCTGGACCCCAGAACATAAGACCCACTGCTCTCTTCAAGATGTCAAGCTTAGGAGCCACACTTCTCCTGTTCTTGGGGAACAGGAGGAAATTGAAAGGACCAAAGGACAGATATGCTTTTTTTTTTTTAATGTAAAAACCTTCCTACATTTTTGTTGCTAAAAGTATAATTTAAATGGAAGATTTGATGAGCTTTCCTCCCAAATTTACCTTATACCTTTTCTTTAAAATGAATAAACAATAAAAATTCCAGGTTACTTAATACTATTTTTTTCTTCTTGGTTCTTAAGATCAAACTCAGGACCTCACAGCTAGGCAGCATCCTGTTACTGAGGCTCTCCTTACCCCTGGGATACTAAAAGCATTTTGAGTTATAATCTTGCTCTGTGGTCCAGACTAGACTTGAACCTCTGGTCCTCCTGCCTCAGCCTCTCCAGTGCTAAGATTATAGGTATGGACCACCTGGCTGTCCTAAATATCTTAATATTGTACTGTTATTAAATTGTTTTTTGGTGCAAGGGTAAAGTGGAAGATTTCGTGCATGGCTGGGGAAGTGTTCCAACACTAAACTACATCCCTTGACTATAAAATGTCTTTCCTGTAAAGTGGTATCATGTTTCACTCTATCAACATATAAAAAGAGAATTTTGTCCTGCCAATTGTGAACCTTCAAAAATATTTAACAGCAGGTTGTGAGTGGTACTCATCTTTAATCTCAGGACTTGGAAAGAGGCAGAGGCAGGTAAATCTCTAGTTTGAGGCAAGTTCAGACTACCCGGGTCTACATGAGACTGTCTATAAAAGTTAATAAACTAGTGCTTGAAAAATGGAAACAAGACCCCTAAAACAGCTTTGAGCTGGGGTAGTTCACCAGTGATGCCTATCATACGAATCAGGAACTCACTGGGTTGTGTCCAAGTCACTGAGTTTAGGAACTTTTAGTGCTGGAGCAACCACCATATTCACTTCTCCCAGTAAGCTTTCATACGCTGGTCCCCAGGCCCTGGTGTGGATAATGCACCTCTTTGTGGACATTTCATGTCAATGGACTCAAACAGTATATGGTCTCTTAATTTGGTACTTTTTTTAAACATGTTTTTTCAGTGTTGAGCAGTTTCCTGTTGAGTACGCTGCACTTTGTCAGAGAGCGCCTTAAGGTTGGGTTTTAGCCTCCTCAGCTCCATTGGCTCTCCACCTCCACTTTGGCAAGTCCTCTGTTAACAGGCCGAGAGCTGTGTGTCGTAGGAGCCTCGGCCACTGCAGATTCCTATGATCCTCAACCTTCCGCAAAACATTGTGCTGTCTACTGCAGCTCAGAACCCAAGCATCTGAGGCCCATTTCATAACGAGCACAAGTGGACAGGGAATGAAACTACATAGTGTTTCACTCAGAGTCAATGTTGAAGACTGCAGCTTTCTAGTCATGTCCATGGGTATTAGAGTTGTACTAACTCTGCTGGACTCCTGAGGTGATGGTGATGTACATAGGAGGGAGGGCCAGAGTGATGGAGGAGCCAGTGGAGCAAAGCAGCCTGATGATGCCCAGGCTGCCTCGCACCTCCAAGTAAACCTAGGCCCAGTCTCTGGACCCTTGTCCCTGTTGCAAATGTTTAAAAGCTTGTTGCTCACAGGGCTTTTCAAATCTAAAAACAAGCTGGAGAGATGGCTCAGCAGTTAAGAGAGAGCATGACTTCTCCTGGTTCAATTCCCAGTGCCCACATTGAAGCTTACAACCATCTGAAACTCCAGTCAGAGACAGGATCTGATTTTTTTTTTTCCTGGTCCCTGCAGGCAGACACACAGTGTAAACAAATGCAGGTAGAACACCCAAACATAAAATTAACAACAAAACCCTAAAAAGTTTTCCTAAAAACACCAAAAATGGGGGGAGGGTTACTTAAAATTTTTGCTTTGTAAATCAAATGGCATCTGTATAAAAACTCAACAAATGAGAATAAATGCACTTGCTGAGGAAGCACCTTCCTGGCTAAACCTGGCTCCCTCCTTTCATGTGTATTGACAGTTGTACTGTGCAGGAGTTAGAGAGAGGGGAAATAGAACCCAGAGGTTAAAACACTAGCATTGTTGCACATCCAGACCTGGTTAATCTTAGGTGCCAACGGTTATTGGGAATGACAACGGTGTCTCTGAGCAAAAGTATCTTCCTGGAAGGATTAGCTTCAGGAGAAAGACCTTCCCTGCAGGGCTGGCAGCAGCAGCCTTCCTACAAAGGTCTGAGAGGGAAGTGCCCCACTGTAACCACAGCCAGGTGAGCAGCAATGAGGAGCAGGCAGGCCACTGAGTTAAGCAGTACCTACTTGACCTATAGGGAGGGGCCTACAGGGATTTATTCAGACTAAAAAAAAAAAAACAATAAAATGCCCTGTGTGCCTATAGCTACCAAATCTAAGGTTAAATAAAAATTGAGACTAGAATCGTACTGTTCCTCCACGTCCTACTGGGAACCTTGGGGGAGGGTGTGATGGATCTTGGGTCATTCCCCAGGAAGTGGGCATGGAGACAGATTAGTTCCATCATAAGGCATTGTAATTCTGCCAGGAGGAACTTGGGTCCCAGCTCCTGGCAGTCAAAAGTATGTGGTGTGGAAATGGGAGGTGCAGGGCCATTATATGCTTAAAAGCCTGGTGGATGCACCTAAACCAGCAAGTACCTGAATCTGCTAGGAACCTGCTGGAAGTGTGGAGGACATAACAGCATATGCTGAACGTGATACAGAGCATCCTACTGGGGAGGGGGTAAAGTGCATTTATTTGATTCCATGTGTTTTTAACAAAGAAAAATCTCCCTTCTAACATTCACTGTCAGCTGGATGGCAAGGAGGTACAGCCCCTAGAAGGTATGGGAATAGAAGGCAGCAGCATTGATACTGTAGTCCATGGGAAGGTGGTATCCAATGTGCCTGGCTCCCAGGCTGGCACCCCCCAGTGCAGAAGAGTATCGTAGCTTCATCAGGGTGAAGCTGGAAAAGGAGTTCTGAGCCTGCAGCTCTCGGCCCTGGGTCAGCGCCAGGAGAAAGCCTGGAAGAAAACACGGAAGAGAACAAAAACTGAATCTTCAGTGGAGATGCTAGAGACCACATTCCTAACACAGAGGCACCATGATGCTGTGGGTCCTGGAACTAGCAGCCCAAGGAACCCATATTCCTCAACTACTACAGAGTATGCACCAATACCCACAACTTCTTGATGCCAGAATCTAGTAGGGCTCCTTGAGCTGTTTCAGAATCTAATGAAACCCTGAAACTGGCTGAACTGAGGCTGCCATGCTAAAGTCCTTATGGTCAGAATGGTAACTAAGGGTGCTACCACATGTTATCATACACTAGTCTAAGCCCTAAGGGGCTGGAGAGATGGCTCAGTGATTAAGGGTATTTGCTGCTCTTCAGAGGACCTGGGTTCAGTACCTAGCACCCACATGGTGGCTCACAATACCTGTAACTCCAGTTCTACCCTCCTTGGGCACTGCACACCCATGGTGGACAGACATACATACTAGCAAAAATACCCACAAAACATAAAAGCAAATAAATCTTTAAAAGTGATTAAATATATCATTGGGAATAAAACATCTTTTGCCACCTCAAGAGCTTGAGCTATACAGTAGAGAACAGGTTTATTAGCAAGCACACACCCCAGGAGGAAGTCATGGGAGCCAGATGAGAATAAAGGGCCCAACTTTACCCTCTTTTCCAGCTGTACCCTTTGTCTTCATCCACACCTGCCCACCCAGACTCACCTTCCTTCAACAGCTCCCAGCTCTTCCACACTGAGCCCACACACACAATGGGGAGGCCAAGCTTCCCTTGGAACAAGACCTGAGAAGGCAGAAAATGGAACATTGCAGGCAGATCCTAACCCTAAACCTTGCTCAGGGCCTCAGGGATATTTCCTCCGACTAGCTTCTGTCCAAGACACTCTCCCTCTGGTAGGGAAACTGAACGTAAACTCAAGCAAAAAAGGGGGACGGGGGAGGAAAACAGAAGTCACGAAAGTGAGGCAGAAAAGAGGAAAGGAATGGTCAAATGGAGGACAGCACCACATGAAGCCAGTCTACATATTCAGAGGCATCAAAGCAAAAAGACTATGATGGAGCAGTCTTACCACCCCAGGCCAAGGGTCAGACCCTGTCCAGCTGCCACCCACCATTGTGTCTTGCCTCAACTCACCGGGTCAATCTCTGGCAAAACTGCTACGATGTGTCTGCCCAGCATCTCCCCAGCCTTCCTGAAGATGTACCGAGAAAGGGGATCCCCCTGCTGTGCGCCTGAGGCAGGGAGAAAGAGGCTGGAGAATACAGGAAGCAGGCTACTCTAGCCACTCCATTAGATAAGGCAGCAAGCTCAGGCCAAGACTATGTTAGGATGGATGCCCACATTGGTAAAGCAAGCTTCTTCCCACCATTCCAGATACCTCCCAGTGCCCTACTGGAAGCAGCTTACTAAGCTTTGAGAAGAGCCTCCTCCACCCCACCAGTGCAGTCGGACCAGACTCCAGTGAACTATTAAACTACATTACTGTGTCTGTTCCTGTGAGTCTATAAGCCCTGTGGACAAGGGACCCTATCTGAGAAGACCAATGATACTCCTGTTGGTAACCAGCACTTTCAGCAGTGTGCTGATGGTTAATCCCATTCTGGCTGATGTTTTGAGCCTTAGTCCTGAGATAACACAAGTAGGGTGTCCTAGGACTAAGTAAGCACCTTAGAGGAGCAGACCTCACAGTGAAAAAGGCAATGTGTGACATGCAGACTTTTCCCAAAGCCAACACAAGCTGCCTGAACTTTCCAATCCCTGCCAACAGTCAGTACTACTTCAAGTTCTCAAACCAAGGTCTTCAGATTGTAGCAGTCACATGGCCACCCGGGAGATAAACATAGGCAATCCAGTGCTGTCTGGTCCCACCTTCACCCTATTCACCACCAAGCAAGTTGAACTACAGACTCCAAGTTACTTGTAGAGACAGCCACCAGCACATAGGCTAGCCTTAAACATGCATGACCCACCATTAGACATGCTTTTGGATAACCAAGCTACAAACAAGCTGGCATTTGCAGTACCTTCTGCAATTTTCTGGCAAAACCCAGCAAACCTGGATTTATCAAAATCCCTATACAAATGGGTGAGGATTCCTAGCCGATCTGGCACCTGAGGAATACAAGAGGAGACACAGTCATAAGACGCAAAACCCCTAGTCTGTCACCCAGAGTGGCCTTCCCAGTGTCTCTATTGGAATGACCAAAATATTCTGGAACTTTTTTTTAAGCTTTAAAAATTAGAGGAATTTGAGATTTATCATTTGAGTAATTTTGTTTTCCTCAAGATCAAATTCACTGAAAAACTCTTGAAAAGATTGTTTTAGTTAAAGATCAGTCCCTTACAGTCCTACACACAGTAGCAGACCAAAGATTCTGAGAAGTACTGCAACCAAGGAATTCATTGCCCAAACTGTCTTCCACTACCAACAACCTAACAGGTCACCCCTTTGAGTCCCCAAGTATGCAGAGATTCTCCAGAGTACATTTTAGTGGGAGTGGGATAAATGTTAGCATCCACAAAAACATTACTAAGTGTTTTATACACTTGTCTCATTTGGCTTTGCTTAAATGTTTGCAAAAATGCTAAAATTCCTAAGAGGAAGTGATGTGGGATGTCCTTCTGTATATGTGTTGCTTTTATTGGTTGATAAATAAAGCTATTTCGGCCAATGGCTTAGTAGAGTAAAGTCAGGCGGGAAATCCGAATAGAGATAGAGTAGGCAGAGTCAAGGAGATGCCAAGTAGTCGCAGGAGAAAGATGCCAGAACATGACTGGTAAGCCACAGCCTCATGGTAATATACAGATTAATAGAAATTGGTTAATTTAATATGTAAGAGCTAGCTAGGAATATGCCTGAGCCATTGGCCAAACAGTGTTATAATTATATAGTTTATGTGTGATTATTCAGGTCTGAGCAGCTGGGAAACAAAAGTGCAGTCTCTGTTTGCAAGGAACTGCAGCCACACTGGTCTGAACACATGCCACACTACTCTGAATCCTGTCCTTATCCACCACTTTCCCACCATGCTGTCCTGGTCCACCTGGAAACCCCATCCCTTTCTGCAGCTTCCCCGTGGGTTCCCCAGTGTCCTACATTAGGTGCACATGACTGTGGGGTAGGCAGTACCTGGAAATAGTTGAACATGGCCTGCTTGACATAGCCAATATCATGAGGAGCTGCCTCCAGGTTGTCAATGGAGTCAAACACGATTTTCACAGCTTGGTGTGCAATCCAGTAGGCTTCCGGGAGCAGAGGGAAAGAAGACAGCAGCCAGTCACTGGCCATCTCCTCACCAAGAAGGACTCTCAAGCCCAAGATCAGTCAGTGGTTCCCAGTAGGGAGGGAGGCTTAATCAAACTACCTGACAGACCCAGGCCAGGGAAAGCTGGTAGGAAGACTGAGTACACCTGTCACACTGGCACCCATTCAAAGACAAGGGTGGTAAGCTGTCACACACAGCTGCAGTCACAGCACGAGCTGGACCCAAAAGCCACCCAAGAGATATATACACGCTGCCCCAAAAGTAGTGTCGGTGGGAAGTATGTCCTGTCCAGATCCCTTTCCCACTAGCAGAGAATCTCTGGATAGCTATGGCCTTAACCTTCAGTTTGAATCCTTCCCTTAGGTCTCCAAAAGTCAACAGAAGTAGGCTGCACCACCATGCCATAAACTGAACCTCGGGTATGAGAGGCTACTAAGGAGAAAGATGGTGATTCTGGGATTCTCCCAACACTATCCTGTACTCAGAAACACGTTTAGGAGCTATTTAGGGATACCTGTTTAGGTTTGGGGACCAAGAGGGCAGGAAAGGGGAGAGGAGTCGCAGGAAGGGGTATGTCCAGGCCCTATGTGTGCTCACCCGAGCCTTCGTCTCCCATCATATGACCCCAGCCACCGCAGCCACTCTCAGAGCCATCGGGGTTGATAAGCCTGCAGTTGGAGCCTGTTCCCGCGATGAGCACGATCCCACCTGGGGAGAAGGCATGGGGGCTCAGTGTGGACAAGGGCCCGCACAGAGCAGCAGCTTCCCACTGCAAAAGATAGGACAGAAACAAGCCCTACAGTGAAGGATCACCACCCAGCCTCCCAGAGCAAGCAGCCCACTTGCTTCCTGTCCAGGGGATGGAGGAAGAATACAAGTCTACATTGCTTCAAGGGAACATGGCTCCCTGCCAGCCAGACTTCAAATATCTTGGCTTTATTGAGTACCTAATGCCAGACACTACAGCAGACCTGTTCTTACAGTGAGGATCAGCACCCTAAATCATACAGGCAGCCACTCCCACTTCTACAAAAGTGAAACCCTTCCACAACTTCTCAAAGATGAGAGAGCTATCAAATCAGAGGCTAGGCACATTTCATTTTTGAGATGGTCTCATAAGGTGACCCTGGCTGACCTAAGATTTTTTTTTATGTAGAACAGGCTGGCCTTAAACTTGCAGTGATCTGCCTGCTTCTGTCTCCTGAGAGCTGGTGTAAAGGGTGTTCACTGGCATGCCTTGTGAGACTCAGTTATATACCAGCACACTACCATACCCAGAATCCCACACTTTCTCCTCAGTACCACCAGCTCCTGCCCCCCACCCAGAGATTCCACTTCCCACCCAGACACTTAACCTGCCCTCCTTCCTCCTCTGTCTCCGGTCCCTGGTCTAGCAAGGGTATAATATGCTCAGGAAAGGCCAGTTGGGAGATAGTAATAGAGGCTGCCTTGCAGATATCTGTAAGAGAAGTTTTGCTAGTTAAAAGTAAAGAGCTTCCCCCATAAGAAAGCTCATTCTCGGCCCCCACGCCTCCTTCACGTTCTCACCATCCGGTGTAGCTGTGGCGATGGAACCCGCTGCATCAGTGGTGATTATGTAACTTTCACTCAGGTAGGGAAATCGGCCCCTCAACTCCTCTATCAGGAGCCTCACTGCATCCTCCTGCTCCCCACCACTCAGGGACAGGCCCTAGGCCACAAGAGAGAGGAACACGCTGAGCAGATCTTTTCTTAACCCCCTCCTTCTAACACCCAGCTAGCCGTACCCTGTTCATCCGATCTAGCCCCTCCACCCAGAGCAAGCCCTTAGAAGGTCATGCCTGCAGGAACAGCCTGGCCTAGGAAAGGGTGGAGGAAAGGAAGACACAGGCAAAGGAGCAAGGTGAGGGGATATGGAGAAAGCAGCTTGGCTTGACATACATGGGGTCTGGCTGTGCCTGCACATCTCCCTTGCATATCTGGGAAGTAGCCAGAGTCACAGCAACCTGGGAGGAAGAAGAGCTAACATTTAAAGAGCCCTCTAGACTACAGGGAGCTGACCATTTTGGAATAAATCACATTATCTCACTTTCCCAAAAAGTCCTAGTATATGTATTTGCAAAATGAGGAAACGAGGCTGAGAGAAAGTAACTGACTTAAGGGACACTATACTGAGTGGCAGAGCTGAGATTCAAATCAAGGCACCAATGGATATCTGGAGCCCCATGCTCTTAAAAAGCATTCTCAGCTTACAGATGATCACTGAAGCCACAAGAATGGGCAGGATCGAGGGCCCTGGCCCTGGAGACCTTTCCCTCTCATCAGACTCTGTAATCACACTGGCCACCTGCGTCAGCACTGCTAATGGCCCCTGCTCCAGCCAACTCACCAGGCTTCGAAGGGGGACCAGAGGATCCACTCCAGCCTTCTGTTTGGCCATGTTCACCATCTCGTTGATCCTCTCCACACACTTGTCTGTGCCAATCAGCTAGCCCCAACAGGGAAGGAGGAGTTAAAAGGCTTGCAGGACCTGTGCTGCCCATACCAGTTGCTATGAGGCCCAGCCACCACCTCAACAGGAGTTACAGCACATTAGATAAGAGCCAAGCCCTGTGGTCCCCTCAAGATGGCGGTTTACCCAGTGGTTTGTGCTCAGTCCATCTGCTTCTGACAGGATCTGCCCATTCTCAGAAAGTAAAAGGACTTTGGACCGTGTGCCTCCCCTATAAAACACAATAGGGAGGGCTCAGTCCTGCTAAAACTGCAGACAGCGAGAGCCAAGCTTGCACAGTAGCCTCTTAGAGTCAAGAGTAGAGACAGCTTCAGCAAACTCAACCTCTATCCCCAAACCTACTTGTTCAGTGTCTGCTGCACTCTGGAGAGGGAAATGTGGCCTTTCTCATGTTTCTCTGGCAGGTCTTACTTCCCCTGCAGGATCCCACTTACTTATCACTTAGACCTTACAACTTGTCTGATGTGGGCTTTTCCAAGACACATAAGCCCGAGCTAGCGAGGACTGCTCTGAATTAAGAGTGTATCGTTTCATGTCTGCTTCTCATTGTGACCACCACTAGGTGAAGCTCCAGATTGATTTCCTGTCTTCCTAACAGGCCCAGAGCCTGGCCAAGGCAACATATGGGAAATGCATCAGAGGAGAAAAGCAGGCCTCTGCTCCTCTCACAACGGCCAAGAGCCACTTTGGAAACCAATCTCCTGCCACCAGGTCTTCAAGACACTTACAAGAAATGGTCACCAGGCAGGGAGAAATTCATACAGACTTCAGCAACTAAACCCTTTCAAGTTAAATTCGTGGGGTAAGTGGTATGGAGGAAGAGTGACATTTGGAAGGGCAATGTCCTACTGACCAGCACTTCTTGAAATGTAAATCAAGACTCGATGATTCAACTAAAGAGGACATCAAGTTCTGAGGGGATATCAATGCATGAGACAGCAGACTAAGAATCCAAAATCACCCCCTGACAATTAGGGAAAATTAAGCTCTACCTTCCAGATGACTATAATAAGGTTAGGTGCAAACTCCTACAATGTGCTGAGGGTTTTTCCTTGTTTGTTTTTAATGTGTCACACACACACACCAAAAAGAAGCCAGAAGACATCCATCCACCTTAGCAATTCACAGAGAGAGACTTCAGGGTCAGTCAGCAGTGAGCTGCTAGGACGCCAGACCCTCCTCCTGGCACATCCTGGTTCGACACACCCACATCCACAAAATGCTTGTCACGCGCAGGGGCCATGGCAAACCACCATCTTGCTCTCCCTTGTCTTTGCTTTACACATGTGGCAACTGAGGCCCAAAGCGGGCACACTTCTCACCCAAAGCCATGCCCGGCAGAGCTACCTCCTAAAGTCCAACAGACCAGGTTCTGAACCAGAGAATAAGGTAACCAAGGGCCTTCGGGACTGACAGCAGTGGACGGTCTCGGTCATAGGACAAGGCAATGTTCTGGTGGCAGCTGCTCAACTCCCGGGTTCCCTTGGCTATAAATCTCAGTCTGGGCTTCCGCCTCTTCCCCAAGTCTACCCGCGACCGACAACTTCCCACCTGACCCCAGCTCTGCACAAGTCTCCCAGGTTTAGATGAGAGCCCTGAGACGGAGCGGAGGTGGCAGCCGGGAGGGGCGTGGTCGCGCAGTGGAACACAAAGGCACCGGGAGTGGAGCAGGCCGCCGCCCCCTGACCCGCTCCCTGACAGACGGCCTCGGCCCGTCCAGCGCTCACCCTTCCACGCCGCCATAGAGCGCGGCCATGCTAGCGCTGCCACCACAGATCGCTCTGTTGCAAACCCGCTCTCAGTCGGTGGACTCTCTCCTACCGCCGCAGAGCCGCCCCCCATCCCGTCACGTGACCACCGCGCGCAGGCGCGGGTGCGGACGGTGCCGCCTCTCTCGCCTGGCTGGGCCCCTCCCGGCCCTTTCCGGTTCTTTCCAGCCCATTCTTTTCCTGCCCTGTGCTTCCGCTCGGAGGCAGAGCCGCAACCGAGAAGCCTGGGAATGTGAACGAGGCAAGACTGCAACCAGGTCACTACCGCGCGGTTAATTATGGGGCGCGCATGCGCAGTCGCATGCCGAGGCCTTCTCAGAGTCTGGCGGAAATGCTCGAGGGCCAGGCCTGGAGTCAAGGTTTAGTCCCAGCCACTCAAATGCAGCTCTGGAACACAATGGTGGCTCGGCCTGCTAAAAGCTGGCATTCGTAGACCTTATATAACCTTCTGGCCACCACTTGCTCCCCTATTCTAAAATGTGTAAAGGAAGGGAAGGAGGAAGATGCCATCAGGTCTGACAGAAGAGTGGCTCCTGTGTGCTACCTCAGGCTCCTGCAGGTGGCTTTAGGCCTGCTAGGAGCAGGTTCGATGGCCAGGAGGGCTGTCTGCTGCCCGTAACATTTCTTTGAGACATCCATAGGGCTAGCCTGCCTCCTATCTAACCTCTGCCCTCCGTGCCTGCCTCCTGTGGAAAAAAATTTAACTAGGATTCTTTTTCCCTTGCGAGACTATTCTCAAAGGGACAAGAATTTCTTAGCAGAGTGTTTTAAAATTAGAAACACAGACTAGCAAGGACACACCTGGTGATAAAGACAGCGGAGTAACCTAGTCTGAAAACAAAGAACAAGATGACATAGCAGGATGGGAAAGAGCAAAAGACCTTGCACCCCGTGCCAAAGCAGCTCTGAAAGGCTTGCTTGTAATTTCAACTTTAAAAACTACACACACACACACATACACACACACACACACACACACACACACACACACACACACACACACACACCGGCAAAGGAATCTTTTAACTCCTCTCTACCTCGCTCCAACAGGGTGTCGGAGATGAGTTCCGAACTAGTTCTATTACGCTGGCAATAAAACCTTGCTAATTGCAGTCCGGTCTCTCTGATTTTTGGTGGTCTCCCTAGGGGTCGCAATCTGACACAACACCCTGACAGTTAATTAGCTCTGGCTGTGTTTTGAAGTGAATAGTTGGGAAGGTGGGTGGACACACAGGTCTCATTTATCCCAAACTAACCTCAAACTCTGGCTGAGGTGACATTAAACTTCTGCTTCACTTGCTCTCCGCCTCCCAAATGCTGAGATGTAAATTGTTGGTGTAGGCATCTAGGAGCCACGAGACACAGACCACCCAAAGGAAGTTCTTCCAACCACTGTCACCTGCCAGTGTTGGGCCTAGCCTGATAAGCTAAATGAAGCAGTGAGTCTCAGTAGTTTACCCTAAGGTAATAATACCTGGTTGCTGGAAGGACCAGAAACTGAGATTACCTGGGCACCACCCAGGAACAGACCATCCAAAGGAAATACCTAACATTCCAACTGTTGTAGATAGGATCACCTGCCCTCAGACAGTCACCAGGAAAACCCCTAGACAAATTCTGAAAGAGAATCTTGGCCTTTTTGGATAGAGGAACAGTAGAGGTAGGACTGGCGGCTGCTCCCTGCTTCTCTGATATTTTCGTTTTGACTCCAATATTTGACTACAGACTTATTTATTTATTCTTGGGTTTTTGATTTTTTTGAGACACAGGTTCTCTGTATAACAGTCCTAGCTAGACCAGGCTGGCCTTGAACTCAAAGACACAGAAATTCACTTGCCCCTGCCTCCCAAGTGCTGGGATTAAAGGCATGTGCCACCACTGCCCAGCTGACAATTTTTTATTATTAAAGATTAGTTAGATAAATGCTTCATGTGGCATCCAAATTCACAAGCTAGCCGCTTGCCCGTGGCTTTGCAGCTACCCACCCCCTACAGGAGCAGCACCCTCATTTTCTTCCCCAAGCCCTCTGAGTGAGTCTGGGATTTTTCTCTTGCAACCTCTCTACAGCAATCTCTACAAGCCCCAAACTCCACTGATGCCTGGGCTCCAATCACCGCTGGAGTTAGCCCCACACCAACAGTGAGCTCGGCCTTCGGGCCATTCTGTGCTTTCACTTCCCACCTGCCACAGGTGCCACTTTCACATGCCCCCTGCCTCTTTGAGATGGCTGGCTCAAGGGTTGTGGCTTTCGGCGGATCCCTCCTCAGGCTGCTGGCAAATGGCCATGTCCGTGTTCTCCACCCAGACGTGCTACATAGTAACAGCCAGCCTTACACTTGGCCATCAGCGGCAGCAGATTTGGGGAAACAACTTGTAATTCTTAAAAGGGGGGAATAGGTTTTTTAAAAAGAGAAAGAGAGAGAGAGAGAGAGAGAGAGAGAGAGAGAGAGAGAGAGAGAGAGAGTTTTTTTCTCATGTTAAAAATGGGAAACACTATTATGATGGCAGAAGTTAGATCTCTCTATGATTCCACAATCAATAGCTTAAAAATGGAACAATTAAATGAGGGGGTAATTAGCTTAGCTGGGATTTACATAAAGTCAATTATAATCATTATTGGTTTGGTAATTCTTGTTTTATCCCTAAAAAAGTTGATTAATATTAGTGCCAAGATACAGGCATTAGAAAAAGTTACTGAAGAAAATAATGCAATTTTGACTGATAAGTTACGAACCTTAGAAAAACTTATTAAAACAAATAATAGAAGTATTCAGACAAAGATCAAGGAATTTAAAGGAGAGCTAGCCTCACCATCATAAAATTTGAGAGGGGCAGCCCATGGTTGTTAGAAAACCAATCTTATGGAGAAGTAAAATGTAATTGTATATAAATATTAAATTTGAGATTTAAGGAAGAGGTTTCATATGGTATGCATTCACCCTAAGTGAAATGGATATTAAACTCACGAGCAACTCAGCAGAATTGTCCCTCAAGACATTGGAAGCTGGTCCTCAATTACAATAACCTAAAGCTATAGAAGAACAAAATAAGGCTAGAGGTATTAATATTCCTTAAGGTTAACTGCTATGTGAAGACAAGTATGCTGGATTGTAAAGACAATTTGAATTTAATGACCACACCTTGGTGCTATGTCAGTCAGCAGCCTTAAATGCTTGGGACAAGGTTAAAGAATCAGAAAAAGAGTTCTGAGTCATATACTAAAATTATGTAAGGTCCAAAAGAAGCCTTCACTGATTGTTTCTGCAAAAGTTTACCCCAGCTATAAATAGAATAGCATTAGATCCAGAAGTCAGACAAATATTAATTGATTCTTTGGCTTTTAAAAATGGTAATTCTGAATGCAAAAAGATGATCGGGCCTCTAAAGGCAAGATCGGCAGCAATGGATGAATGGATTGGAAACACAGATGATATTGAATTTCATACTTGTGATCCAACTTTAATAGGAGAAGTAATCTCTAAAGGTTTTAAGAGAAGACAGACTGTCAGATGACTATCGCAAGCAAGGTCATCTCAATAGGAATTGTAGGAAAGGCATTCCTAGAAACAATGTTTTTTCTTTTCTAGAGATAATTGAAAAAGAAGGTCCCTTGATGTGGGAAGCCCTTCTGTATATGTGTTGATTTATTAGTTAATTAATAAAGAAGCTACTTTGGCCTGTGACAGGGCAGAATAGAACTAGATGAGAAAACTAAACTGAATGCTGGGAGAAAGTAGGTGGAGTCAGTGAAATGTGATGTAGCAGCAGGAAGAGACAGATGCTAGAACTTTGCCAGGTAAGCCACAGCCATGTGGAGATATACAGATTACTAGAAATGGGTTAACTTAAGATATAAGAGCGAGCTAGCAATATGCTTAAGAGATTGGCCAAGCAGTGATTTAATTAATATAGTTTCTGAGTGTTTGTTTCTTGTCTGGGCGTCCAGGAATGACTAAGCAGTCTCCACCAACAGTCCCTGCTTTCTGGAATATGCAGAAGGTGTGGCAAAGGCTGAATTGGATTAATGAATGCAGATGAACCAGGGAAAATGAAACAGTTTTTTACATATTACAAAATAAAGCATATTACAGGTAAATCACACAAACCTACACAATAAGCAGTTATATAAAGATCTAATTGTACTTTTGTACTTTTAAAAATATGCTTATTAAACAGAAAGGGGTAACAGAGACCCTCAGAGATAGATTTACAACGCTTTATTAACTTTAAATTTTCTAAATGCTAATGAGAAAGGAATGATAGCTGTGGAGGGACACTGGATGATAGAAAAAACTGCTGAGTTAAATCAGCCTGTATACTATAAAGATGTGTTGACCTCAGAATGGAAACCAATACTTGTGTTACATTGGTAGAAATTAGTATGTCCAGACCTGCTTTTTTCTTAGGACCATTTGTTGAAATAGGAGTGGCAGGGCTGCGTCCCCGGCACCCGGCTGCCCGCATGGCTAGGTTATGCCCCGAAATAATTACACGGAAACTGTATTCTTTCAAACACTGCCTGGCCCATAAGTTCCAGTTTCTTATTGGCTAGCTCTTACATATTGTTCTAACCCATTTATAATATTCTGTGTAGCCCACGAGCTGGCTTACCAGGGAGGATCTTAACCTGCGTCTATCTGGAGTGGGAGAATCATGGCGACTCCTCAACTCAGCTTCTTTCTCCCAGAATTCTGTTCTGTTTTCTCCACCCACCTAAGGGTTGGCCTATCAAATGGGCCTAGGCAGTTTCTTTATTAATAAGAAATCACTCCCACA